TTTTTCTAATCTAGTTAAGTCTAGAGATATTATTATTATCTATTTTCTTATTATTCCTACTATCCTAGTATATTTCTAATTCTATTATTAAGTATATAATATTTTTCTACTATATTAAGCTATAGTATATATATACTTAGTACTTTATAATTTATATTCTATAGAGAAATATATTCTTCTCTCTTAGTAGGAGTATTACTATTAGAAAGACTAGTTATACTTTCTATAACTATAAAATCTCTTCTAGTACTACTAATACTAATTAGAACTATTTAACTCTATTTAGAATTATATAGTACTTATTTAAAACTATTTAATCTAGTAGCTACTATATCTATAACTACTAGATAAAATTCTAGAATCTCTTTATAATTATTAATTTAAATATTATAAATATCAGACTAATAATCTAGCTTAGCTTCTAGCTCTATTATATATATATTAAGATTCTAATTTCTTTATATTATTTATATATATCTATATATAGTATAATAAGTAGTATAATTATAACTATTACTCTATTTAGTAAGTAGTATATTAATAGTATAAAAATTAGATTTTTATCTCTATTTATATCTATAATATATACTATAAAACTAGCTTTTACTATAATTATTTAAATTATCTTCTCCTACTAGCTCTAAAATACTATATCTAGCTCTAATATTATTTAAAGCTATTTATATATAGATATCTATTATAGCTAGTAAAAGTAGTAATACTAACTATTCTTCTAGTATAGTTCTACTATCTTTAGTATCTACTTTATCTCTCTAACTACTATTTATCCTCTTTTATATATATTAAACCTAAGGAACTAATACTATTACTAGCTAATCTATTAGAATCTAATCTATTATTATACTATTCTAAATATTAGTTACTAGAGCTCTTTTATATATATTATACTAGTAATATAGTTTCTATATCCTATCTATATATTTAGTATATAGTTTAATATAGTACTATTAATATTATTATCTTTCTTATTCTCTATTCTTCTAATATTCTCTTCTATATAGAAAGCTTTATTTAGATAGTAGTTAGTAATAGTAATAGTAATATATTACTAGCTAATAATTATAAGCTTAGCCTCTATATACTATTTATTATACTATTAGAGAATCTACTATATATAATCTACTAATTATACTAACTCAGGCTCTAATACTATTTATATAGATTTATCTATATTAATTACCTTCTTTATTATCTTATCTATCTAGAGAAATATACTAGATCTACTATTATACTATTTAATAATACTCTATATCTTCTATTAAAATAGTAGAACTAACTATATATACTATACTAGTAGAGAACTAACTATATATAATAGATAGTAATAAATTATCTTATTATAATTACTAATTTAGATATTCTTATAATATATTATTATAAAGAATAATATATTTTAATTATAAAAGATATTCTATAGCTTACTATTAGCTATATTCTATATCTATATCCTATTAATCTTTATTATATATACTAGTATTAATAATATATATATTAATAAGAATATCTACTTCTAGAACTATAGTAGTATATTAATATACTAATAAATAGTATTTTATTTAAGTAGATACTTATTATTACTAGTATTTATATTAATCTATATCTTCTATAATAATATAAACTATATAAGCTATTTAAATATCTAGCTATTCTCTATTTATAGTTATATATTATATTTATTCTATAGGAATAAATAATCTATTATATTATACTATTAATTATTTTTAAACTATTTCTATCTAATCTCTAAAAGTCTATTTACTATATCTATTATATTTAGTATTAGTACTCTAAGTAGCTTTTTTATTTTTTATATAAGTATATATAATATCTCTACTAGTTATAATATCTAGAACTAGATTATTCTATAGTTTATATAATTATTTAACTACTTAATACTACTACTATTTAGTATATTATAATAAATATTTATTCTATATATTTATATCTTAAAGATCTAGTTTAATAATATTAGTTTAGCTATAAGCTCTCTATATATTTATACTATAAACTATACTATCTTACTATATAGTATATAGAATATACTCTCTACTTCCTTATATATATTATCTATATCTATTATCTATAAGTACTAGATTATCTATATTTTCTACTTATAGTATAACTAATATAATATAAGTATCTATACTACTTTAATTATAGCTAAGTAGATCTATATATAATTAAGTATAGACTTCTACTCTTTATCTTTCTAGATATTTATAATAGCTAAACTACTTATTAGTATATTTTAATATATATCCCTCTTTAGTATATAATTAAACTAGCTAATTATTATAATTAGATATAAATTCTATTTATTCTAATTAGATTAATTATCCTACTACTTATACTTACTAGATATAGTCTTAATAAATATATTCTAATAATTACTTTATACTATTATAAAGATAAATAGTAATTACTTATTATTAGCTATTTTATCTATATAATATATAATATATAGTAGCTATTAGAATATATTCTTATATTACTTCTATATATTCTTCTCTATTCTACTATTAAATAACTAATTAAGCTTTTCTTCTAGAGTAGTTTAAACTATTTTAAATAATATAGCTTTATCTATCTTAGTAGTTATTATAATTACTTATATCTAGTTAAATATATACTCTATTACTTTCTATACTAATTATAATACTATCTTCTTATTCTAAATATTCTATTTTATATTATAGAGCTTAGTAATAGAGAGCCTCTATAGATATATTATCTAGCTAATAAATTTAAACTATCTATTAGATTTAAGCTAGTTATTTCTAATTTAAATTATTATCTATATCTTATATATCTTCTTAGCTACTTTCTTTTTAAAGAGTTTCTATACTCTTTCTATAACTAATTTAGACTATAGATAATTAATAGAATTAATAGTTTCTTTAGTTATACTAACTCTGAACTAGTTACTTATAGCTCTTTAAGAAAAGAACTACTAATAATATATACTACTTATCTATAGCTAGTTATAAGCTTCTATTACTTTCTTTCTAGTATTATTATCTTTCTTCTAATTATTATTCTAATTATACTTCTTCTATAGATAAATATATATCTCTTACTCTATATAGATAATATACTAATATATCTAGTATTATAATCTATTAGTTCTAAATAGAGAGATATATAGTACTAGTTCTATAATATATTATAGTAGTATATAGTTATATAGTTCCTCCTAATTCTATATAAGCTTATTAATAGCTTATATAGCTATCTTAATTTCCCTTCTCTAGATTACTATAAATAATAAATATTAATTTTAAAGATAAGATTTTATCTCTTTATTAATATAAGTATATTAGTACTACTTATAGATAATAAATAAATATTATATAAGATAGATAAATAGCTCTATTATATTTAGTATAATACTATAGATTATATAGTATTAAGATTAAATATATTAATAGAATAGGTTTTAAAGATAGTAGATAGTATAGATAAGAATCTTAATAAGATCTAGTTTAATTATACTTTTAGTTAAGATTTTATTAAGATACTAAATAAATAATATTCCTAGTAGGAATATTAGAAATATTAGTTAAATACTAGATAAATAGATTTTTTTAGTAGGATAATCTAAATTTCTAATTAATAGATTAATAGATCCTTAGTAATAGATCTTACCCCCTATCTTTTACTAGTATAAAAATTTACTTATTAAATTTTAATAGATCCTACTAGGAACTATTATAGAATTACTAATAGGATATTATTCGCAGTGAACCTGCTGGAATTCCAGAGTTCGTGGTTCAGCCTTTGTCTCTCTCTCTCTCTGTTTTTGCCCCTTTTTTTTATTTCATTTGAAGTATACACGGCAGCTGATGACCAGTAGGATCTTGCGTTCCCTACCGAATGACCGCCGCGATAGGCCCTGTGATAAGGCAAGTGATCGTAGTTTCACAAGACAAAATGTGCATAATGATCATATACAGATGGTAGGTGTGCAAAAACTTCAAAGTATGTTTTTGCGAATGCTTATCTATTTGCGACTAGTCACAGCATCCGGCCTTTACTACTCCAGAAGCAGAGGGCACTATTTTCCCTACATTTGGCACAGGCAACTTCACTGAACCATTCGAGATGTTTTATAATACGACGCTGGCATACGGGTATCAGGGTCTGAATTGGGACGTCTAAAACATCGATTGCTAGCACTGTAATTTGGATAACAGGGCTTGTAAATCCAGGAATATCAAAGACACTAACCCTTTTTCCTGAGCAACGGCGGATAGCCCAAATAAGGACGCATATATCATCTGTATTGAAGCTACCTTGTACATACTAGAAGTGTCCACTTATTACTCAGAATGAGAACCAGTTGAAGTAAAAACAGCACATCGCGTGTGCTCTCTCGTGAATACTTGACACTTAGTCCATCATGTACATTTTGAGCAGGGATGCATGGAGAGTAAGGGATTCCGGCCGCCTCAAAGCATGCCTACTTTCGTTTCATATAAGTCAGCGTCTTTTGATCTATTTGAGTACTGATTCGCTTTCTCTTGGGATGCTTCCTATTTCTTACTTCTTCTTTTCATTTCCTAATTACTCTCGTTATCTCTTTTTCTAGCCCTGAAAATGAAGTCTCTAACCTACCCTATAGCTTCGGTGGTCATATCACTGACTTCGAACGGTGAATTAGATGTGTGTATAATTATCAACCTTCCCTGCTCTTTTTGGCTGCCTGCCCGACTAGGAATAGTTGACCTACCCGCGCATGTATGTGTGAACAGTAAATGACGCACTCCCACGTGTGTTAACCGTCGTTCCCGTTCGGCTTCCTCGATCCTTTCGGCGCGAACTCTTGACCCCACCAAATTCCCGCCGGCGGGGTTTTCTAACGGGAGTAATGAAATAGCCATCTCATATAAAATGCCCTACTCTTCCCAGTAAACTTAGAGCAGAAATTGAAGAAGCTACAAGCCATAATATACCGCGACACCTATTGTTCCCTGGACAATATGGTCCACGCAAGTGCCGTCCCACAAGCGCCTGAAGATACCCACTATGGCTTAAGAGCGGCCTATGAAAGCGACGAGTCTCCCGAAAAGGTTAACCTGGTTATTGGTGCGTACCGAGACAACAACGGGAGGCCTTGGACTCTTCCGGTTATTAGAAAGGTGAGCTAAAATGAAGGGCTTCTCAATTGACCAAAGGTTTAACCTTCACATTTTCACAGGCGGAGGCTATCTTCTTCCATGATCCTAACCGCAACAACGAATATCCGCCTATTGCCGGAGTCCCTGAGTTTACCGCAGCTGCGCAAAAACTCATCTTGGGCTCTGAATCTCCTGCTATCAAAGAAGGACGAGTATGTTTACAGTCTTACTGATACGAACTTGCACTAATAGTCACAGGTGTGCTCGTTCCAGACCATCTCTGGTACGGGAGCAGTTCATCTTGGAGGGGCATTCCTATCTAGATTCCTCGGTCAATCGGATATATACCTCTCAGATCCGACATGGGACAACCATGCTCAAGTCTTCTCCAACGTTGGCCTATCCATTAAGTGGTATCCCTACTTCTCAAAAAAGACGCTGGAAGTTGATATTGAAGCCATGTTGTTAGCTCTTCAAGCTGCTCCCACTGATAGCATTGTCCTCCTCCAGCCATGTGCTCACAATCCTACGGGCGCCGATTTATCTCTAAACCAATGGGAAAGAATAGCTCAAATTCTACAAGCTCGGAGGTTGCTTCCCTTTTTCGATTGCGCTTATCAAGGGTTCGCGACTGGCTTATTCCATAACGATAATGCTGCGATCCGACTCTTCGCTGACTTGGGGATGGAGATGCTGATAGCTCAGTCCTTCTCCAAAAACCTAGGTCTGTATGGGCATCGAGTGGGATGTCTACATTATGTTGGTCCGCCTAATGCACCAGACACAACTCTTCGTGTTGCCTCCCAAATTGCCATTCTACAGCGGTCTGAAATCTCAACACCACCAATCTACGGCGCTAAACTTGCCTCCATCGTCCTTAACGACGAGAAATTATTCACCGAGTGGGAAAGAGATTTGTGTATTATGGCAAATCGCATTAAAGAGATGAGAATAGCACTAAGACAAGAGCTCGAGAGGTTGCAAACACCAGGGAATTGGGATCGCATTACAACAGAGATTGGCATGTTCAGTTATACTGGATTGAGCGCGGCCCAGGTGGCGCAATTGAAGGATCAATGGCACATTTACATGCTGCCAAGCGGCAGAGTGAGCATGGCTGGGCTCAATACTAGCAACGTCAAATATTTCGCAACAGCAGTTGATGCTGTAGTCAGGCGGGTGACGGAAACTTAAGACTGGGGAATCTCAAAACATCAAACCATTTCAAACGCAAATTAAGTACGGATGTGAATCTCAAAAGTCTTGTCCCAAAAACAAGCCACACATTGCTTTTTCTTCTAATGCAACAAAAGAATACATATTCAAATTAAGACCACTATAATACTACCTGTATTCTAGCCTAATTAACCCGCTAGGAAATAATTTAGGGCTTACAGCTTCTCTAAAGCAATGAGACTGTTAGTGAATAGTGCCCCATAGGTAGTGACTGGTTATGTACCTCGTGGTTGCTTGCAAGAATCAAGGGGATGGCGTAACTTGGCTGGGACGAGATGCTCATCCATACACTTGTATTTGTAAGCATGTCGCTTGTATTTGTAAGCATGTCGCTTGTAAATTAAGCGAGCCTCCCCTCCTCACTTGGTCGAGTAAGATGGGGGGCATGTTCGGCAATGGGGCGCCGAAGACGGACCCATTCGGCAGCCCGGCACATAGGTTACTGCTGTTTGCCGGAGATCTACCAGTTATTGGTGGCCTGAAAGCCGGGTGATAGGGTTGGATGGGAGGCAAGTTCAAGAATTTACGTGATGGTAAAACCGTGGTCTTAGGTATCCTTTTAATTGGCTATTTGTCTGTACCCTTCTGGGACCCCTCAGGTTTGGACCACTTGGTCACAGCGAGTGACCGAAAGAGGCCTGGTATCTCCGCATTACGTATAATTTGGGTCCATTTGTGACTTAGTTAAGTTGCCATCATCGCGCGTACATCAGACTCTACCCTTCCCAGATTCTTGCCATGCAACAAATGCATGGTTAGCCGGCATTATAAGACAAGGTACAATGCCTTACCAGCCTTCCATCGGATCGGACCTAACAAGGAGGAGGGTTTCCAACGCGCATGTCAACACTAGCCTCCGCCGCGGCGCGATTCACGTCAATTCCGCTGACCATTTTCAAGTTGCCGAGCCTGCAGACAGCGGAAAGTAAAATGTTCAGGACACAGCCCCTGCCTGAATTGTGTCAATAGGCGCCAAACCTGTGTATTCGATCAAACGGAAAGGAGAGTTGTGATTCTTGAGAGGTGGGGTTTCACAGCAAAGTAGGTCGCATAAACTCATTTCTAACATTGGATTTTCCAAGACATTTGCGGGCACTTGAACGCCGTGCGGTGACGACGGAGAACCTTACCGTCGGCGTAATTACACGAGGATCTCCTGTAGTCCAGTCCACGGATTTCGGAGAACAGAATACGGAAACGACAGCCCAAACCAACTACGGCACATCTAGCGCTGGCGCCGGAGCTAATGTCCCCAATCCAAGTAAGGAGCCGGAAGGGCCAACAGGTAGACGAAAGCTCGACTTATCAGGGTGATTGCAGTTGATACTGATTCGAATAAGTTCCATCCCAGTTTGCCAGTACTTGGGACTTCAGCCATGAAGCGCTCTGTTGTCTGAAATCTGAGCCCGATCAGGCGAGCAGTTGTTCAATAGTTGGCGAAAAGTTGTCTTATGACATCTCATTCCGTGATGTCCCAGAATTCGACCATTCGACCATTCAATTGCATTCAAAGGACTACATTGCACACCTTGCCGATGTTTCTAGTTTCCATCTCAACTCAACTCACTATTTCTTCGACTGTTCTGGTTTCAAAGAAGAATTAGAGAAAACTTTTCATACCTCATCACAAACGACGAGACTCTGGCAGGTGAAATTGTTGCTTATAGTTGCACTGGGAAAATTGTTCTTGGAGAAGGGAGCGAGTAAATCAGGACCACCAGGTGTGACTGAGTTTCGCCAAGGTGTCAACGCCCTACCATCAACCATTCTGTTGAGTCAGGATCCAATAACGGCCACCGAAGTGCTCTGTCTATTGTCATTCTATGCACAGGCAGCTGATCTGCATGAAACATCATATCTATATGTCAGTCTACTATGAAAAGCTCAGTCGCCTCTAGTTCGCCTTGCTAATGTAAATTAGATAGGGCAAGCAGCCCGGCTGACCCGCCTTGCTTCATTTAAAAGGGCATGCCGAAATAGTGAAAGCTCTGACAGTCAAAGAAGGTGTGCACTCAGCTTGCTATACACCGTTTATGTGCTCGACCGAAGACATTCGGCTGTCATTTTCGAGACAATTGGCGATTTGAATGAAAAAGTCGATATTGCAGACCAATGCGAAATCACTTCTGAAGATGACCTCGACTCTAGGGTGCAGATCAGCATGTCCATCGCTAATATCTTAACAAGGGTCACAAAAGGTAACTGATACCCTTCATTCTCATATCAATTACTAACAATGGGCTTCAACATAGTTCTCGCCAGACACCGCTGGCTCGACGATCTGGACCATTCAGTCATGGCAGAAGTGGGGGGTTTACTCAAGGGAATGCAAAGCTTGGGACAGCAAATAATCTCCACCCAAAGGTTATATTTTGACGGGTCCCCTTCTACAATTGAAAAGAGTACGGCACGCCTGCATCTTATGTACTACCATGTCAGTACCAACCCTCCCAGAGCGATCACTTCCCTCTGCATTCCGGCTTGTTTCTTCCCAGACTTGATGCGAATGCAGGCTCATTTGTAGTGTATAATCACGGCGACCAAAACTGCGTTGTTGCATTTGACAAAGTGGAGACTTTCCTCTGGTTACACTTCGGACCTTGCACCGCCGGAGTGCGGTGTTAAACTAACACAAGCGTGCCTGATCTCGGCCACGTCAAGCCTCCGGATTATTTCTGCCCTTCATGATCAGGGCTTCATTGGCAAGCTCATCCGTCTCTCATCTTTTCTGCATTTACATGAAGGCCTAATAGCGTATAGAGGCATTCCCTTTTTTCGACTTGGAGATAACCTTCCTGTCCGCAGTATCCCTAGTGCTTGCCAGCATCGTCAATCCAACTTCCTCAAACGAAGGTCTTATCCATATAGCCAGGGAGGCTCTGAAGGCTATGGCTAACAGGGGTAACATTCCCGCTGCATCTCTTACAGATGAGCTACATCGACTTTCCAGGTTGGCCTCTCAATCTTCCAAGTCTCTTGAAGCAAACCATCGACTCCAAGGCTTGGGGGAGATCGATTCTAAAGATGATGGCATGGAAGCCCTTAGCAACTCCCTCGTTAGCGTACTGGAGATACAACATTCTGAATCTAACTGCTGCCAAAAACTGGGTTACCCCCGATGGAACACAGCATATATTCCAGACTCACAAAGTCGGACTTCAAGTCCTCGGATGCTGGCTGCTCCGTCAACGGAGAGCGGTAATACGCAATGCGATGGAATGTTCCTTAACGAAGTAGGCCTCGAAGGACAGCAATTCACCTTCGATTGGGCCGATTTGCAATGGCTTGACTCTGTACAATAAGCCCTAGCTAGGTCGTAAAGAATTGCACTGATTACGGTTATGGTCAGCGAAGGTTTTTGTATACCATGATATTGTACTCGTGCAAAATGCCTCCATCGTGCTGGTATTGTGTTTTCTCCACTACCATTGCCGGTCTTTCGGAGGATAACAATACAAAGAGTGTCGAAAGGCTTGTCAAACGGAACTGCTCATATTTGTCCTAGGCAAAGCAATAGACACGAAGCCTGTGGAACTAAGTTCGATTTGAGGAGTTACGCGATCGACAATAGCAAATGATTGTATATCAGGCACAACGGGAAATTTGCACATTGCCCTAATGCCATTTTATAGCTTCCTTGCTCTCTCATTTCTTTGTTGGGCTGAGGCTAGGTCGTTGGGGGATCGTGTCAGACACTGCGACTTCCATGGATCGGCAGTCAAGGGCTTGCGAGGGTTCAGTTGCGGGACTATACGTTATTTACTGCGTAAAGCAGAAGAAAATGATGTATGATTTTGTAGACTTGTAGCTGAATAGCTCTTGCCGTGGACGCTGGGAAACCAGCATCTTTTGGAGATCTTTAATAGGATCATCATTAGTCTTTTGCCACGGAGTAGGAATAAAAGGGTTCGTATTTCATTTCGTCTAACTGTTTTACTATAACGCTTGCTTTTGAAATGCTTGTTGACTGGGATGCCTATTTGTATTGCTAGATTCACCCACGGCCAATCTGGAGTTTCCTGGCATGCAAATGTCAGTTAAGTAGGCTACAATGGCTGAGGTGGAATTCGGAGAACTACAGACTAGGAGTACAAAGAAGGGCATCAGATAGAAGGATAGAGAAATATTGTTTCTAGGTGTGGCTGGACCGCCCGAGAAACATTCCAATGCTTGATGATATTGTAAGCTGTTATTCAAATGGTGTCTATCTACCTTGGATAATACCTTGTAGGAAAGCGATCACATTGTTCAAGGCAGAAAATTTGGTTAGTAACTCAATGATGAACGGCTAACCGCAAAGAACCTTGAAATGAAAGTTTTTCACCAGCATTCTTTCCACAGGAATCCATGTGGAGAATACTACTGTTTGATTATATCTAAAACATACATTGATACCAATTTAACTACGCAATATACAGAGTATCTAATTACATACGTCCTGCTTCTTACTTGTGCTTAAAGCCATTCTGGGGAGTCTGAACCCAATGGCTTTGGCATCACGTCCCACCTAACCTCATAGCTCTCTATCGTAGCGCTATGTCGAATTGCTTGCATAGACCCAAATCCTGTGTCTTTAATCATAAAAATCTCGGAAGGCATATCCTCGGGCTTCTTATAGTCTATGACCTGGAATCCACTGGCGCCCTCGTATTGTCCTAAGCCTCGGAGGTACTTCATGACGCCAGTGAGGGACATATTAACGCGCTAAGAACCACCTTCGAGCGCCTTCTTGTAAAGCGCGGCGAGAATATCGGCTGCTAGGAAGTAGCCGCCACTATGGTCCAGAGCCTAGCATGGAGTGGGACGGGCAGGCTCATCCTTGCAAGCATGCTCAGCTTTAGAGATATTCATGCCTGAGCAGGTCTGGACAAGAGAGTCATATCCATGACGGCTGGACCAAGGACCAGCAGGCCTAAAAGTTGACATATTAGCGATAATAATGCCAGGGTTGATCTTAATGAGCTCTTCGGGGGACAACCCCGGGTTTGGGTTAGTTTCAGTTGTTTAGTGACGTTTGTGTGCACCTGAACTCACCTCATCATCATTCGCATTTCCCTTGGCAATGATGTGGTGAGAGCAAGGTTTCCTAACTGGGTTCATAGGCCGGGTCAAGGCGTCAACAGGGAGACTTAATGGGGAAATGATTAGCGATTATCGCTCCTATAGATGAAAAGGTAAATTGCTTGCCCGAGAGAAACGGTTTCACCAATAACAACACCAGTCGTGGCCCTTTTTACGAGGTCTGGCGTAAGTAGATTGAGTACCCCAAGCTGGTCATCCGCACCCCATAACCCCCAAGCCGAAACAGGAGGGTCTCCGGGATGGAGCGGGAGCTCATCAACCGATGGTCTAGGTTCCGCGCTGTTCATTTGGCTAGTCATGGTGAATGGATAAGGGTAATGGACCACATACAGTGGCAAGCATAGCACTCTCCTACCTCTTAATATGAGCTTCTGTTTGTCAAGTCGTTGTCTCCACAATTCGTAGCTTGAACCGCTCAGCATTAAGACTTGCCGAAGTTGAGCTCGGTATTTGGTTCACCGCAGAGCCGATGCCGAGCCGGCTACGCTGTACATGTTCTCCGCACTGAGTCATGCCATCAAGTTTTTTTGCGCGAAGGGTGGGTTAAAGTAGTGAAAGCTAAGTTCAAGTTCAAAGTACCACCCACAGATACAAATAAATGGGCTAAAACGCTTTGGATACGTCCAGTGTGCTACCGAAAGACATGGCTAATATTTGTTCACACCTCCAGAATTGAGCTGAACACGGTAGAGATAGTCTCGTCCCACAATGTAAAGCCGGTCATCGATCCATTGCATGTTGACAGCCACGTCTTCTTCTTCTGTCTTGACGAGGCCCAAAAGCTTCCCAGACTTGTCATATACAATAACACCACCAGTTATTCCACCATAAACCCGTCCGTCTTTATCAAGCTTGATGCCATCGGGGAAACCAGTATCGACATAGGCAAAGACTGTGCCTCCTTTGATGGGTAGGCCAGTCTTATTGATGTCAAATTCATAGATGGTGCGACCGCCTGCCGGGTTATCAGAAGCGTTGCCACGGTTCGTCACATAGAGCTTGTTCTCTTCCAGATTAAGTGCAACACCGTTCGGATTGGTGAATGGGCCACCGCCAGCACCAGAGACCTGACGCAGATCACCAGTGCTCATATCCCATCTCCAAACACCATTTGCTAATTCTGGCTTGAGAGTGTTATTGAAGTTATCGTAACCGTAGTAACCATCTGTGAAGTATGCAACGCTACCACGAGTGATGGCCACGTCGTTGGGACTGTTGAATCGGCGGCCAAAAAAGTTGTTGAGAACCACCTCGGTTTGGAGTGTTAACGGGTCCATCTTGACAATCCCCCCTGGATTGGTATGGTTGCCTTCCTGGGCCCAGTAGACACTTCCTTTGTGGTAATAGGCGCCATTTCCCATAGTGAGCTGCGGGGATGGGTAAACTTTTTCGGTTGTTGGTGGGGTGGCATTGAGGTTGGTTCGCCACATCCAGGGCATGGCATCAGCTGAGAAACCTTTCTGGGGAGGGTGTAGCTCGGCAAAAAAGAGACAATTACACTCAGGTGAGTATACCGTACCATCGTGGACTAAGCGTTTGGCGAAAGATGGTCCTGGAGGGAATTTGAAGAGCTTCTCGACTGTTTTTGATTCCTTGTAATCTTTAATGCCTAGGAGCTAGTATTTGCTTCAGCTAAGCCTTCATTTGCGGAAAGAAATGCCTGGAGGTAGTTAAGCTTACCTTATACATGTCTTGGTTAAGAACTATGAATTCAGCCTCCTTCAAGGCGGTGTTGAACTTGTCTGAATCCTCAGACGAAGCACCATCCAGGACTTCCGTATGCCACCAGGAAGTGGTAACATCTCGATTGAAGTCTGCAGCTGGGTAGACGTTTCTCACTGAACCAAGGACTTCTATGATGGAAGGGCCTTGTAGCCAGTCCGGTTTGGTATCTCTTAGGTTGAGATTTGGCAAGGCCAAGACATGATAGCCAGTTCCGAAGAGCCCTAAGAATTGGATAATACGCAAAAAGGATGTAGGAGGGGACATGATGGATCACGTTTAAGGGGATGATGTCTAAGATAACATCAAGCTTGGTTTCATGCAACAATGGTTGACGACTAGAACTTTTTATACTACGAGACCACGAACGAGCTACCCTTTACCAGAAAGAAACTGATGGTGATGCAATGCACTGCTACCCCAGATTCCAGACGTCATCCCCGCACTGTACAATTTGACTAGTTCTTTTAGTCAAGTCTTCGTTCTGTTCGGCATCCCCAAGCGCAGGCCCCAACCCCATATTCTCACAGAGAAGCAAGAGTGCCCCAGGTTGACCATCATCGGACCCAGCTTCTGACCTCGCAAACTGGGTTTCGGCTTCTTCGGAATTGTACCTATGCTTATACCAAGTGGTCTCAACTTATTATCCGTGACAATCCAGGGACAAGAGTCGGTTTTCGGTCCATTATGCCACATTAGCACGTCATGGATAAAATAAAAATCTCTCATAGTGGCTTGTATCCAACCAATTAGCTTCCCCACCCCTCCTCTTCTCGGTATTGATGCCGAGCTCGTCTCGGTATCGCGTACGTCGCGTATTGAACCTTGCCACAATGAATAAGTCGCCACCCTAGTCAACCGAACACCCCCTTCAATCTGTAATGGTTGGGTAACTTATACTAGATAGAGATCTAGGGTAGATTAGGGTTAAACTAATTAGAGTATTATTCTAAGTAGTATAATTAGATTATCTTAGTATTATATAAGTTACTATTAATATATAAGTACTAAGAAGCTAGTTTTAATAAAAATAATAGTAATTATATTAATAACTATTTAAAAAAGTATAACTATTTAATAAAATAAATATATATATATAATAAAGTTATTATAGATTTATTATTTAGCTATTATTCTATTTAAGTAATAGATTAGCTCTAATTAGTTATTATCTCTTAATAAGCTATATCTTATATATAATTTTATATAATCTAATAGAAGTCTTTATTTATAATATAATACTTTCTTTCTATTAGTTTTACTATTAAGATTAGATTATTTATTCTATACTAGTTTAATATATATTTAATTTTATATTTATTTTACTATATATTCTATTAATAAAATATTTAGTTATATTTTAAAATAAAAGATATCTAATTTAGTATATAAATATATTTAAAAACCTAAGTATATTCTTACTTATAGATTTAAAGTTAAAGAGAGCAGCTTTAGTAGTTATTCAACACACAGCTCGTCCTGACAGCAAGCGAGTTATCGGTATAAAGGTTTATGAAATTTTCTGCTGTATAACTATAGCCTTAGGCTAGTAAAGCTTTTTTTAACCTTTTGTATTTATTATATTGAGTTATTAGGTCTAACTTCTTCTTTTATTTTAACTTTCTATTAAAACTTCTCCAGTATAGATTTAAAGTTATTTTTTATATTTAATATATAGAAAAAAATATTAAATACTTTATTATTCTAAGCCTGAATTATTATATAATATATATTTATACTAATTATTTATATAATAATATTTATTTTCTAATATCTTTAAATAAGTATTTTTTCTATATAATTTATATATCTAGTTAATTTTATTTCTTAATTAAGAAAATTAAAAAGAAGTTATTATATTTATAAAATAAAGAGATTAAAATTAAAATAGAATTAGTTATAGTATTTATATAAATTTCCTATTTATAAAAAATATAGAAGTAGTTTTATAAGAAAGATATAGAGATATTAAAGAAAGATCTAGATAATATAAAAGAGCTAAAAGAGAAAGAATAGAAAGAGATAGAGAAAAGTTTTTAGGAAAAATTAGAATAGATATAGACTTAGGAAGCTAAGCTTATATTCTAGATCTAAACTTTATATATTATATAAGCTATTAATAAAAGTATTTGATTTTAACTTTATCTTATAGTATTAAAGGTTCAGGTATAGACTGCTAATTGTATTCTTAAAAAATATATACTAAATCACATATTACCTGATCTTAGGATATACTCTTGTTTATAGCAAAACTAATAAAAAAAAAATAAGCTATTAATTTTTCTAGTTTTATTTTTAATTCTTCTATAGAAGATTTATTTAGTAGTATTATATAAAATAAAATTATTAATTTTTCCTTCTCTAATAGTATTAGTAGATTAAATATTAATACTTTATTAAATATTTAACTAGTTCCTATATATTATTATTTTTATTATAGTTTTTCTATTTCCCTAAATAAAATATTTATTTATTCTTAATTTTTTTATTTAGTATTTTCTAAGGTTTATATTCTTTCTTTAATTATATAATCTTAATCTAATATATTTTTTAATACTTTTTTAAATAATAAAATATAAAAAACTAGATAGATATATATTATATCTAGTAATAAGAGTTTATAATTAGTATTTAATTTTTTCTTTAAAAATTTAAATAATCTAAGTTTTTTATAATCTAATTTATTATTTAGTTTTATTATTATAATATTTTTATAAAATAAATAGATTTTATTTTCTTTTTTTAAAATTAGTTTCTTTAATTTTATTTTATTATAATATTTTTTTATTTTTTTTTAAATAAATTTAAGTTCTATTTTTATTTCTATATATAATAAATATAATATTTCTTTTATAAGTATAGTAACTAATATATCTAGTTTTTTAAATTCTAGTTAATTTTAGAATTTTAGTTTATAACTATAGTTTATATATATTAGAGATAATTAGATTAATTCTTATATTAAATTATTATATATAATCTATACTATTAGTAATAGTTATATCTAATTATTTTATTTATAATTAATATATATTTATAGATATTATTTTAAGTTTAGTTTAATTATTTTATTTAATTATTACTTTATAGATAATAAGCTATTAATAGTTTATATTTTATATCTATTTATACTATAAATAATTATTAAAACTTAAAGATAAAGATTATTTCTCTATTTAATATTATTTCTTTAGCTAGTTTATAATAACTAACTATATATTATAGAAACTAATATATAAAGTTTTCTATAAAATTTACTTCTTTATATAAAATAAAATATCTATACTTTATAAGTTTATTAATAACTATTAGAATATTATTATATTTTATTCTAATTATTAATTCTTTAGATTTAAATAATTTAATAATATAATTAAAAAATACTAATTATTATAATTATTCTAATATTAAAACTAATTTTAATTCTCTATATAGTTTATATTATATAGATTTAATTTATATATATATATTATATTTTAAAACTATAGTTTATACTTTTTTTTATAAATTTAAATAATTATAATATTATTTAATTCTATTAAATATTTTTTTAACTTCTTAATATTCTAAGAGTAAATATTTATAGATTTTTTTAATAAATATTATTCTTATTTTCTATTATAGTTTCTCTAGATAAGAAATAATATCTATCTAGACTTTAATATATATTATTTTCTTTAGTATAATACTTAAAGTTTTTTATACTAAATATTTATTATTATTTATTAAGAATAATTATTTATTTATTTTTAGAACTATTTATTTATATTTAAACTTCTAGCTAAAAGTATTAGCTTTTCTATTTTTAAATTCTTTCTAATATATTATCTTATAGTTAAATTTTAATAAATATTTAATATATTATATTTATTTTCTATTAAGTTATTAAGTTATAATAAAGTTTTAAATATTTTTATAATCTATATATATCTTAATCTTATATTATATTTCTAAGTAATAGTATTTAAATTCTTTAAATATATATATAATAGCTATAAACTCTTTATTATAGATAAAGTAGTTAAGTTCTATATTATATAGCTTCTTTAAAAAAAATACTATAGGGTATAATACTCTATTATTATCTCTTTAACTAAATTAAATATTAATTATAAAGTTTAATATATTTATTTTAAGTTCTACTTCCTTTATAGAGTTAAATATCTATAATATTTTAAAAGATTAAGATCTCTAGTAAAGAGTAAACTAGCTATAGGGTAAGCTAGATCTAAAGTAGGTAAAGCTTATAGGGTAGGCTAAGGGATAATAAAGAGATTGTTATGCTCAGAACTAGCTATAACCAGCTTAGGCGTTATAGATAGGTTCTTAGTTATTAGCTACAGGGTAGCTATAGTTAGATAGCTTATAATTAAAACCTAGGTTTATAATACCTTTACTTATATATAAGATAATATAATTCTTAAGGCTTAAGTTCTTTCTATCTACTAGCTATTTATAGCTCTTTTATAGGGGGCTCTATATAGCCCCTGTTTATAGTATACCAGAGATTATTTAAAAAGATATAATAAAAGAAGTAAACTTTAAAAGAGAAAATAAAACTCTATTAGCTATAGGGTAGCTAAAAAGATAGACTATAGAGTAAATAAAAGAGTATATTAATAATATAAAGAATCTCTATCTAATAGAAAGAAAACTCTATACTTATAGATATTCTAGAGCTCTTAGAGCTCTAAAGATAATATATTATCTTTTATAATATAGATTTATAATTACTATAAGGTTTTTATATAGAGGGATATAAAACTATTAATATAAATTTTTTTTTTTTTTTTTTTTTTTTTTTTTTTTTTTTTTTTTAGCTATAAGTAAGATTATTCTAAGATTAGATATAATATATAATTTATCTATTATATAGAGTTTTTTTATATATATAGTTAGTAGTTTATATCTAGACCTTCTATAGAATAAAGATTAAATAAATATACTTTCAGTCTGGATATAGATATTAATATTTTATCTCTTTATAAGAGAGTAGTTTATTCTAGCTATTAATCTATAATAATATTTATAAATTTTTTACTTCTTATTTCTTTACTTTAGCTTCTTAAAATTAAACTAAGATTATTTTAAATACTATATCTAGTTTATCTACTCTTTCTATTATATCTTCTCTCTTTCTATCTATTCTTTCTTCTACTAATAAGAGAATTATTAATAAATTACTATCTATTTCTAAGTATACTAAGAATAATAATCTTAATCTTCTTAAGCTAGATAATATATAATTTAATAAAAGTACTAATAAAAACAGATTCTCTAAACTTACTAAAAATCTCTATTTAGATCTAGCTATAATAATTATAATTACTAGATTAATCTTCTTCTTTTAATATATCTAGTACTTTCTTTATTTATATAGTATTAATTAGTAGATTTATATTACTATTAGTAATAAAAACTATTTAATTTTCTCTATTTTTATTCTTTATTTAATATCTCTAAATATATTTATTTATTATATAAAGTATAATTATAATAACTATCTATATTTTTTTATAAATATCTTTATACTTTTTTATCTTTATATACTATTTACTAATAATTTCTATTTTAAATAGCTTTTTAGTATTATAGAGAGTAATACTAATAACTTTATATTTATTTAAAAGTATCTATATAATATATATAAAAAATATATAAAAGCTAATAATAATATCTTTTATAATTCTATTTAGAAGATTATAGAGAATAAATATTTCTTTTAGTTTTTCTATAGTATTTATATTCTTATTATATAGATCTTATACTAGCTTAATAAGTTTTTTATCTAAACTAAAATATAGATATATTTATATTAGTATTTAAATAGAGCTTAGAAAAACTAATAAATTTATAATTTATTATATTTTATTTTAATTATTATTAATATATTATTAGATTACTCTTATTATATAATATAACTAAGTATATATAAATAAGTATCAGATTAATATTAAATCTATATTATTTAATAAAAATTTTCTATAGTAGTAAATATATACTATACTTATAGATATAAACTTAACTAATAATCTTAAGTAATTAACTTTTCTCTTATTTCTAAATAAATATAATTTAGATTAAATTAAAATAAATTCTAATATACTAATACTAAGCCTGATCTAATCTAACTAATATCCTAATCTGAATTATTCTAAAATATAAAAAGCTTAATTAATAAACTAATTCTTAAGAACTATTTCTACTCTTATTAACTTAATATAGTATATAATATACTAAAACTATAAGTTATATATCAGACTATAGTAAGTTTATATAAGAGAGTAGCTATTCTTAAGATATAGTATTTACTTAAGCTAATCTTAATCCTCTATAAATATCTATAGTAGCTATAGGTACTATAGATAGTAGGCTATATAATAAAGTAATAAACTAAGTAGATATAGCTACTGGATTTATATTATTAAAAGTAGCTTTATTACTATAAGTAGGCTCTTTACTAATTAGAGAGATATATTATAAATATAGTTAGTAAATAGCTATATTAGATTACCTTAGATAATAGTTATTATTACTTTAAGGATCTTATTAGAAGTATTAACTAAGCTCTAAGAGATTAGAATATTTATATTAGATATTATAACTATTTAAATTATCTAGTAATTAATTAATTAAATAATTAATTAATTAAGTAATTAATTAATAGTATAATTTAATTAATTAATTAATTAAAATAAGCTTTAAAGTTCTAATAGAAATAAAAGATAGTTACTATTATTAGATAATAAGCTTCCCCTCTTAGGGGCTATAGCTATAGCTAGGCTATTTATATATCTAGCTATATAAATAGCTCCTATTATTAGAGTTTTTAAGATATTAATATCTATATCCAGACTAAAAGTATTTAATTTTAACTTTATCTTATAATATTAAAGGTTTAGATATAGATTACTAATTATATTCTTTAAAAAATTATATAATCTAGTTATATATTACCTGATCTTAGAATATACTCTTATTTATAGTAAAACTAATAAAAATTAGATTACTCTATTTACTTATCTTATTAAAAAGATAAATTATTATATTACTCTATAGTTCTTAATCTAGCTACTCTCTTTTAATACTATAAGTATATTTATAATATTTTATTAGATTTTATTAATATTTTATTAGCTTACTATAGCTTAAAAGGCTTAAAATAACTAGTTTTATCTTTAACTTAGTTTATATAATTATTATTATACTACTTAGTAATAGATAGTAGTAATATATAAATACTCTTTTTTTAGTATATTATTAAATAATCTATATAATAAGAATAGAGAGATAGTAGATAAATAGATAACTAGATATATTTAGATTATTATTTTATTTCTTATAATAATTAAAATAGTTTAAGTAATAGTAATAAGTACTTTAGCTTTTTAGTAATTCTTCTATAGTTTTATAAGTTTTTCTTTTATTTTTTAATTATATAATTTCTTAGAAATACTATAAAGAGTATCTAAGTTTAAAATACTATAGCTCTTAGTAGTTATACTCTTAAGCTGAAATTAAAATCTTTCTTTTATTACTTTATTATTATATTTTTAATTATAGTTCTTTCTTTAGATCTTACTCTACTTAAGCTTTTTTTTTATAGATATTCTCTATATTTAGTTTTTATATCTATATTTAGCTTAGAGTATAATAGCTTCTTCTCTTAGAATTAGAATTTATATATAAGTTATTATATATTATTTATATTATTTATATATATCTACTTATTATACTTTTATAATTATTCTTTTTATTTAATTAAAAACTAGATATTTATTTTAGAATTCTTTTCTTTCTTTATAGATTCTATTTTCTATTTATCTTCTAGATCTTCTAGATTAGAAAATAATTATTATTATTTACTCTAGATACTAGATCTAGCTAGACTCTAGTCTCTCTTTTTTATTACTAATAAGGGAAAACCTTATATATAGAATAAAAAACTTATTCTATCTATATATTATATAGCTTTATAAAGAAACTAGTTTAGCTTTTTATCTTCTACCTTTTATATTATATTTTCTTTATTTCTATTTTAACTCTTATCTACTAATTAGTATTAATAAAGTAGTTTTTAATCTATATTCTATATAGATATAGTATAATTCTATCTAGAAACTAATTTTTCTATAGTTTTTTATATTAATTTAAATAGAAGTTTTATCTTTTTTTAATTTAATTAATTAGTAATTTCCTAATATTTATTTTTAATTTTCTATTTAGAGAATATCTAAATATAATTTCTTTATTTTACTTATCTACTAGATATCTAGATTAGTTTTTATATCTTTTTAGTATAATATCTAGTTAGCTTCTTTATTTATATTTTTCTTCTATTATTTTATTTATTTCTAGAATAAGAAAATTTAGTTTTAATTTTAATCTAGATTAATTATAATATAGTTTCTAGATTTATATATTATTATTTATATAACTTTTTAGTATTTAGTATATTTTCCTTATAAACTTCTAAATTACTTATTTTATCTTCTATATCTATAAATACCTCTTATCTTTCTAACTTTCTCTTCTCTTTTCTTTTTCTCTTTTTTCTTTATATAATCTAATCTCTAGATAAATTTTCCTCTTTTTTTCTAGTATAGCTCTAGTATAAATAAGTCTTAGAGTAAATCCTATTTTATATTATTTCTATATTTATTTTAATCTTTCTCTATTCTACTTATTCTTACTTATTTTTACTATATAAGCTTTTTCTATTCTATTATCTTCTAATCTATCTTTAGCCTAATCTCTATTTAGCTCTCTCTCTAGTTCTTACTATCCTAAGATATATTATTAGTAGTATCTTAGTAGTATAGCTATCTATAGTTCCTCTGTTTATTATATTCTCCAGCCTAGTAAGTTTCTAACCCCTATCTAGTTTAGATTCTTTCTAACTCTATAGTAGATCTTACTATAAAATCCTATATTAAGTATTACTCTCTTAAAGCTATCTATCTGCTAGTAAATTTATTTCTTTTCCTGGTAAATAATAGTAATTTATTTATATAAAGAAGTATTATTAATAGAATCTTAAATAAATATCTATTTATTAAGTTCTATTTCCTACTTTACTAAGAGATATTAATAAACCTCTATAATTATTCTATATAGCTTAATACTCTTAATATAATTATATAAGGTAGTTAATAGAATTCCCTAGAGCTTTATAGTTTTTTATATTAAAATACTATTATTAATAGTTAATATTACCTACTAAAGTAAGTTTTTTATATAGTTTTATATTATAATTCTAATAATATATAAATTAATTAAATTAGATAATAATTAGTAAAGATATTATATAAATTAAATAAAGGTAATATAAATATAGATAGGAAAAAAAGTGTTTAATTATAGGGGGTGTTCGGTTGACTAGGGCGACTTAGGCTTTTGACCGTATCACCTGAACAAGGAACATGAAATTGCGTTTCTCCATTTCATTTTATCGCAGCAGGGATCCTCCATGCGAAGCGAGCGGGATAAGTAATTTGCACCAACCTTGTAAAAAATTGCTGCTTATCATCTGACTCCAAGAAATTTGGTTTCAATTGTTTAGTTCCAAGACTTTTATTTAGGAATCATCATTAAATCTTAGCATTATTCAAGTCATTCCAACACTAGTAAACATATCGCATGGAAGCCGTTTAAAAAAAAAGTTGACTTCCGACAACCATTCCATTGCTACGGTATGTCCAATTCACTATCCAAAACTGCAGAATAAATTGCAAGTCAAATTAAAGTAAAAAATTTTACATCCAATTCTGATCTCCAAATGCGGGCCCCTGGGCTCTCTGGGAATTCTCTATCCATCCCCATGACATTACCTCAGGATGAAATCCAGCACCCGTGTCCATCCAAGCGGGCCAAAAATCATCCGTCATATCGAATCCCGTCGTAGTATTGATTAGTGAAGAGAAAGTGTCTGTGTTCGCTGTATTGTTCTCTGAGGGGAAACGGGGCGTGACAGGAGTGAGGTTTTCATTTCCTGAGGGCAACCCTTGAGTATCTTGGCCAGATTGGGTGACTCGCGATTCTGAGTCGTGACCTGAAGACATTTGAGAAATTTGCCTGGTATTGATTACACGAGAAGAATTTAGACTTTCCATCCTTTCTGAATTTCCGCCTGGTTTTGCCCCCATGCACATGAGTCGCCTAATGGTGTCGAGACTGCGTCCTATGCCTGGGGTGTGCATGGCTTCATTCTGCAACAGCTTGACGGCAGCCGCAAGCCTCATTGCCGCCTCCTCTCTTCGGACTTTCGTAGAAGCAATGCTAAGCTCTTGAACTTCGGTACTTGCTGCAATGAAAATGCAATAACTGACTTGGTATGTCATGAGACGATGTGGGAAAGTACGCGAGTACAGACTGTGGATAGCGAAAATTTGTCGAAGATGGATTTCGCAATCACTCAAGTAATGATCTCTCTGCAGAAGATCAGAAGAAGCAAAAAATGGCCGACGTATCAAAATCCTAAGTGTATGATACAATAAACTGTGACATGTTAATATCAAGGTCCAGTGAAGATGAGAGAGAAAAGGGCAATGAAATACTTTAGTGATACAATATGTGGAGGTGGGCTCTGCGCCATACTGTCTGGATTGCTTATTTTAAGAACTACTACCGAAAGCTCGTCATACCATCTTTGAAATCTTGAATCAAGAGCTCCCACTTTTGAAATGAACTCATCGTGACCCGGAGGAGTTGCAAACAACAGCATCATGTCGGTCGTGATTTCGTGAATACGACAAAACGCGCAGAATGTTGAGCTATTCATTATTGGAGAGGGCGGGAAAGGTTCAACAACTTCGAACGCATGAACCGGACGCCAAGGTGGTTCATCGTCAAACTTATCCAGGATCTCATCTGTTGCGTATGGTGCTCTCGTTAGGGATGGCGAACGACCCAAAGCCAGACTCAAAGTCTTGTCCCAAATGTAGGCAGAGTTGTAGAGTCGCTTTCGGGTTTCCTTCTCCGCTGCGGTCCATCGTTCTATTTTTGCCAGGCTTGTAATATCAAGGTGAAGACCGATGTCCTCCATCATGCGGATGGCCATTCCTGTGTAAAGCCAACCCTCAGAACTATTTCCCATCGCACTTTGTCGCCCACCGAGAATAAGAAGACCCTGAATGGTAGGTATGGAGGGCTTCGACGCGGATAGTTCTTGCAGCAGAAGCTCCTTGGCTCTTGAAAGAAACTCGTTTCCATTGCCAATATCGGGGAAATTGGGGTGATGCTTGGAAAGATGTCTCCCAACAAGTCCAAAAATACACATGAGCAAGAAGTCAGAGCAATACGGACCTCCAAAAGCCAAATCCATAATCATGAGGGGTTTATAGACGCAATTGTGTAGCGGATGAAGCCAGGTCCAATAGATGTCAAGTAGAGCCATGCCAATCTCTCTACTGACACCAGCACCTCTCATTACGGGCTGAGAAAATATCAGAGGCATCCAAACTGAATCAATCACGGAGTACTGTGCTGCTAATATATCCTGGTCCGAATCTTGCCTTTCGTTTCCGACGCCTTCATTCAATGTTCCAGCATGAAACCTACTGGTCGGGCCATTGTAGGTCAGGCTGCCATCTTGGCCGATGCCGACTTGAAACCAGAGCGACGAGTTGGTCCTGGCATCTTCGGGACTCGCGGAAGGCGTCGGCCCCGAGTTGCTCATCATTGGGCATCTTCGTTCAGATGTTGTTGGAGCCGTATTTGCGCTTTGTACGCCCTCTTCCTGGCGTTGGCTGGAAGCCATGGAATCACGAATCGACGCTTCCAAGTCTCTAATCCGAGAATTGGCATCCCTGAGCTGGCTCTGAGTCGAGCTCTGAGATGGCCAATGGCAGCTATCTCCGAAGCGCTGGCAGTTTTGACACACAGGCTGGTCGCCACTGCATCTCACTTTGCGCGCCTTGCACCTCGAACATGCAAAACCGTATCGCCGAGACTTGCGTGTCCGCGGCGCTTCGAGTGCATCCTTCGTGGGATAGACGTCACGGTCTTCACCAGAACCAGGAGATGCCATGGTTGCGGGTTCTATCACAACTGGTCATATTAGAAAGTTCCGGGATTATTACTGCATTTCAAAACCTGTTGGGTCCGTAGAGTTTCTCCTCGCGGCAGGTCAAAGCAGATTTCCACGAATCCACACTGCGCGGAGTGAAGAAGGCGGACAGATATCTGAGGGGAGCCATAGGCTCGCAGAAGCCGCGAATTTAAAATTTTGCGGGTCTGCGAAAATGACTAAGCACCGTGCGCTATTGACAGAACAGGTATTATAAAATTGGCTATCCGCACTGTCTCCCGGGATAAAACAAGGTCACCAACCTATATATTCAACGAATCGGATAGCTACTATTCGCTTGTGGTTGTTGAGATACGGAGGTAATTGAAGTTACTTAATTTATATAAGTTATATATAGTATATCAGCCGTAGAATGGTCAAGGGCTTTGCTACCCAAGTGCTATTTTAAAATCTGTGACTTCCACCAATGATCGTCTCGTATACTGCAGCTAGCTAAGTGCAAAGCTTCTTATTCCCTCCTACGAAGTTTTTATTCTCCTCCAAATATATTTGACACTCATGTTTTATTAGCTAAAGTATTATCCCCTCCTCTTTAGTGACCTGGGCTTCAATTCGCTTTCCCTCAGCCTTGGTCCAGTCTATATATACTCCTACCATTTCCGTCCATCCTCTTGACCCTGTTGATATGATATCGCGCTCAGACATCGGTTGATAGCTGAGGCATTATTCATAGCTCTGCTTATCATACCTGAGTTTAGCCCTCTCGTTCTGGAATATTGATAGTGTAGTCTGATGCTGCCGGCATGTTGCGCTGCGTACCATGCACTTCTTGCGGCGATATACCTTCCATATATTACCTATGGCGAATTATACCTCCGTGGGGATAGCGACAGTGGGCTAGGAGAAGGAGATAGTTCATAAATAGGAGATCCTAGACGCTGTGAGGCGCAACTGGGCGAGACTTGCAAGGTAAACTGATCGCCGAGAACTGCAGCCAGTAAAGGTTGAGTTATCTCGTTGGCAAGGCTCTAGAAGTGGTTGCGCCGCTCCCTTGCGCTGCAGGCGCCAATGCTGGTGGAAGTATGAAGTATTCAGGTGAAAGGACTTGGCCCTGCTCTTGCAATGATTCCAGTGTGTGGAGGCAAGGCATTCTATGCGATCTGATAGGAAAGCCCGTGCAAGTTAATGACAGGGGAGTTTTCATAGCTTTATACTATACGTAGCTATGTTCTGCATCGTCCAGCGGTCCCGAAAGTTCATTAGGAATACGAACCTGCTCTCGGGCTTGATTCAATCTCAGCCCTAACAACCGATCAAGCAAATTATGCTTTATCGCTCTCCAGCTTCAGAAAGATCTAGAGGACACTTTCTGGGCTGGGATTTCATTAGCATATATATGCTCTTGACTTGGGACGCGGCTGTATCGCCGAGGTGAGCCTGCTAATTCAGACAAACCTTCATAAGCTTGTCCTTGTACTGCTTGAGCTAGTCTGGTAGTAACATATTCTCAAATTGGGGAACTCCGTGCTTAAACGCTTCCTTGTTCTGCGCTCCTATGGTCAAGTGCCTATCAAAGCCAAAACTATAGAATTCGGGCCACCTGAAAAACCATGAGGTATCGTTTATTCTTGGGTCGGTAGAGCCCGAGTAGTTCTGGGGAACGAACGCTGGCCTGTAGTAACGGAGGACTGCCTTGTTCGCGTGCCAACAGCAGAGCAGAAAGCAAGACCTAGGGAAGGAGATCTCAACAGCATTCATACAGACGACGCAGCGGTTCGTCAGAATGACAAAGAGAAACCTAACGCTGTGGTGTTCGTATAGTGACCCTCAACCAAATCCAACACCTATAGAACATCATCTTCGGTCCCCCCGCTAAGGAATACAAGCGCTATACAGAAAGACCGCTGGCAGGCATCGACCCCAATCATATCGAGCAGCAGTATACCAGCCATGGATGCTTGTTCATCTATATGAAGTCCAGCAAGAGTGCACCCGGATAGGCCTGAAGATTCGCTAAGAAGTCCGGACGAGAGCTGGCATTAACCAATTCTACATTTTATTCAGGAAGTAGCGTGCACTCCAGAAAGTATTCGCTCACATTCACCATGCAAACGCGATTTGACTGGCCAGAGATGTATAACTTTGGCATGGAAATAGGTCTACCCTAAGGTTAGCCTTGGAATCAATTAAAATCTTCTTACTTTTATTCTTTTATTTATTCCACTCCAAGTCTTCGCAATAATACTAATTAACCCCTACTCACCGTTGCCCTAGGCCCGGTCTGTAACATGATAGATTATTATATCTTAAGAATAATTGCGTTTATTAATAATATTGAAGCGGTGAATTTGTGGCTGCTAAGGGAGTGCGCAGTCAGAATCTTCAAATTGGCTCCCAGGTAGCCAGCTGTAGTTGGGATAACCGAGGGTTAAGTGGTTGGTGATAGTATTGAAAAGTGGAAATTGGGTATATTATGGAGTGGGTAGCCCATTGACCAGGCTACGGGTTTAGGGTATTGATTACCTGAAACTATGACATCAAAGCTCCGCTTCGGAGTCGGCTGCATTCGGGTGTGGGGTTCCGGGCAGCGCGAAGGTGGGGGGCAATAGGATTCATCCCCATCCGATTTTCCGCTTTCTGAATATCATTAAGGTGAGGGTTGAGAACAATCTGGCGGAGCATCACAGCGCTGCAGCATTGCCTGCAGTTCCCATCGTCCATCAAGAAGAAGATTGCAACTGAAGAGTTTCCACTTTATCGCCTTCCTGTATCCTGAAAATGATCAAGAACAATCTCCTCCGAAACGTGGAGAAGGGGCGGATTTGTACAGTTAAGGGCCAGCCACACCAAAACTTGTTTAGACCCTATACTGACATTCCTGAAGGCAATCGGCGTAAAAGCCTTTCCCAGCCATGAGCTCGTGCTCCTATCTCAGGCAGCGGGATATGATTCGATTTTTGTGGATCTTGAGCATTCGAGTTTTTCCATCAGTGACAGTAGTCGAGTGTGCAGCTCTGCACTATTAGCTGGCATCACACCATTTGTCCGAGTACCTTACCAGTGCGGCATCGGATTTGTACAGCAAGTACTCGATGGTGGTGCGCTGGGGATTATCTTTCCACATGTTAGCACAGTTGGTATGCCTACTCTATTTTTTTTCTTCTCCTGGTTTATAAAAATACTGGATACTCACAAGTCGGGCTCGTTTGCTGGTTCTAGAAGAAGCGAAGCATGCAGTGCAATGTACCAAGTTCCCACCCATTGGCAAACGCTCGTTGACAGCCACACTTGTACAATTCAAGTATGAACGGATTGGAGCTAAAGAGGCAATGCAACAACTGGACAGCTCTGGATCTACGGTTATTATTTTGGTTGAGACTGCTGAGTGCCTTGCAAATGTAGATGCAATCGCATCGGTGAATGGTGTTGATGCCTTACTGCTAGGAGCAAATGACCTCTCACTGGAGTTGGGGATCTTGGGTGAATGGGAGCACCCGAAATTCCAGGCAGCTCTAGAGGCTGTCGCTGCCGCCGCTAACAGGGCTGGAAAGATCTTCGGAATTTGCGGTTTGTATACTCGACCTGACATTTGCAAGCATGCGGTGAAAGAACTGAGAGCGCAATATATCTTGGGACACTTAGATGTTGGGCTTCTAGCAATGGCTATGAATAGGAATGTGGAGCTGTTAAAAGAGATGGAATATCAAACTTGATCCATGATATTCAATGCGAAAATTGGACAACCTTGAGACTTTGATATTCAACAGAATGAATAATTGAGGTGATCTTACTTATTCCTTTTGGTGGCAACCTTGGCGAGGTGAAATTGACGAAACTGCACGATTTGATTCTGACTCCTGCTCGTATTTTACTTTCCCTTGAACGTAGTCTGGTCATTGACCATTGCTTTGCGTATTGACTTAAGTTTTCTTTTTTTTAATGCTACAAATATCTCTAATGTTTTATTGGCCCTGTCAACCTGCCCATTATGTCACTACGGTTACAGTCACCAGACTGGGACTTTCGGATCGGCACTCCATAACCGAGCCGTCACGGCATAAATGCCGCCGTCGGAGACTGGCCGTAACTTTCGTAATAATACTCAGAAAAAGCTTAGCATGTATTATATACTTATATTCAGGCCAGAACTCGAGGTAGATTAAACCTGCTTTCTGAGAAATCACCATATTTAATTTTACGTGATGAGTCATGGTGAAACATTCCTGCTTTCACTTATCACTATTCATCTGACTATTTCACGAACATCTTCAAGCCTACCACTTCTTCGCAATGGCTCCATTAGCCCAATCCCCAGTTGCTGTTCTTCGTGAGAGACTCAACACTTCCAAACCAGCGATTGCCATGGCCGCTCACAATCCATTGGCCTCCAAGCTCGCTGAAGAGGCGGGGTTTGGCGCTATCTGGGTCAGCGGATTTGAGCTAGCAGCTTCATATGCTGTTCCAGATGCCAGCATCTTGCCAATGAGCGCAATTCTTGAAACATCACGCTCTATGGCCGAAGTCCAAAGCCTGCCTCTCATTGTTGATCTCGATACCGGATTTGGTAATGCGGTTAATGTTGCCTATGCCGTTCCGCGCTTCGCAGCGGCAGGGGCAGCAGCTGTGGTACTTGAAGACAAGACGTTCCCAAAGGATAGCAGTTTGCGTTCTCATGGCCGCCATTCTCTGGTCTCGGTTGAAGAGTTTCAGGGAAAGATAGCGGCCGCCAAAACTGCTAGCTCCATCCTGGTCATCGCACGGACAGAGGCTTTGATTGCTGGTTTAGGTCAAGACGAGGCAATCAAGCGCGCCACCGCCTACGCGGAGGCTGGGGCCGATGCAATACTAGTCCACAGCAAGCAGAAGACGCCGGATGAAATCTTGTCCTTCTGTCGATCCTGGTCTGGCCTTGTACCGCTAGTAATAGTACCAACGAGTTATCCGCAGCTCTCTTTCGGTGAACTGGCGAGACTCCGCAAAATTGGCCTAATTATATGTGGAAATCATGCTATTCGAGCAGCTGTGGCTTCGATGAGACGAACTTTCAGTAGGATTTTAAAAGATGGGGGTATTGCTGGCGTCGAGAAGGAGATAGCGTCCGTGTCTGACATTTTCGCGCTTCAGGGAGACGATTTTATGCGTGCTCTTGAAAAGACCTATCTCCATTAGCTCACCACTACAGTATTCAGGTTACTATTTACTGTTAGCTAAACAGATGAGAATATGCTTCCAGAAGGAGGAATCATGTGTCGTTAAATCTTTATTTATTAGGCAAGTATATTACTCTAAATAAATATTTAATCTCCAACTCTCTGAGAAGAAACCCATTAGATCTTGTGTCCATGGCCGATTGCAAGGGGGCACATCCATTTATTTAAAGCAGAGATGCCTTATAATACCACGATACTCCATGTATCCTCCCAGCTTGATTGTATCCAGATCTTTAAAACTTACAGTATAAAGACTTCTCCTTATTACGTTACGCAAGTGGTCAATCAGAATGTTGATAAAGCTTTAAGTCGGGCACCTTTACTGGTGGGTTACAAAGCTTCAATTGTGTCTTGATTCTGACCATCAGAACTCGTGATATGTGTAGAAATAAGCCATGACTATGGTAAACCGTAAAACAACTATGAGGGCCTATAGATTATATGATTCTACCTTAAATCGTATGTATCCTCGGTTTAGTTCGATCCACAGAGCATTTGGCCCCCGCCCGCAGGCTAGTATGTGAAAGAAATGTTATATATACAGTCCGTATCGCCAATCAGACAATCTAGAACTGCGTTAAATGTAATTTTTGGAAACCTTACTGGAGGGTTTGCTTTTGACGAGTCCCTCCTATGTCTCCCGCTTCGTCTCTTTCTCGTACATAGAGCGTATCGTTCTCTAAATCGTCAAGGGTGGTACCCTTTGTCTCCGGGATCAAAAGTGTGAGAAGCGCACACAGAACCATAAGTCCTGTAAACAAACCCAGAACCCCCTGGATATGAATCTCGTCGGTAACAATACCAAAAGCAAAAGCTGTTAAGGCAGCGCCAACTTTTCCGCTTGCGGCAGCAACACCATGGGCTGTAGCTCGAATACGCGTCGGAAACAGCTCTGCAGGGAGCAGGAAGGTCGTCATGTTTATCGAGGCATTCATGGCAAGTTGAGCTATGGCATAAAGAGCGATCAGGCCATCCTTATTGGCGTTGTTCGTAACTCCTGTCCAGATGGCATATATGACAGCGACGAGAAGCGATCCGTAAAGCTGTTGGGCCCTGCGTCCAATTAAGTCAGGAAGGAATATACCAATAAACCAACTAGGTAAATAACTTGTCGATACCACAACAAGATTTCCAACTGCTATATTCCAAAGCTTCTCATATGGGGTCGAGCCTCGAGCGTAGCCAATCTTGGTTAAAATAATAGCTTGGTTGAGATTTTGGCCGTAGATTGCGATATCACTGCCATTGCAATTAATTCAGTTCCGTGGACCATGATAGGGTAAGCCTACAATAAAAACCAGACTGCACAGACCGCGAAGAGAACCTTCGCATGCCTCCAGCTCGAAAAGTATATCCAAAAATCCCGATATTGCTTTCGCATACTGCGAGTTTGAGGCCGCGATGCAATATTCTGCTCTCCATTGTCTCTCTGCACATCTTTAATGAGGTTAGTATGTTCCAAAGCGATTGGAAGGCATCACTCACATTTCTTGTAAGGCTTTGTCTCTTCCATCACCAAACGAGCATAGACCGTCAAGATACAAGGCACAATTCCTATCTACTGTTAAAAACAATTGTTAAAAGATGGCAAAAATACATACCGATACCCATGAGGATTCTCCAGACCCAATCTAGTTGGTTAACGTCGGCTTCGATATGGTCTTTGAATCCGGCGAGCAAGACAAGGAATAAAGCCGAAACTATAGTGTCCCCAAGCCCTCGGAAGTAGAATGTGAAGATCACCATCTTCGCCCTGCTTCTGTCCGAGGACTTTTCAGCCGCAAGAGATGAGGACAAGGGATAGTCTGCAAGAGTTAATATCGATTTCATTCATGATTCTGTAATGGACTTACCGCCACCAACACCAAAACCAGTGACGACACGCCAGACGGCCATCCAAGCCACTATTCCATCGGGGACTAATCCTCTCCAGGGCAGTAGTATACACATTAGAGTGCCAAAAATGGTAAGGATGAGTTCATTCCCATAGACTGCATGACGGCCGAGAGTATCGCCAAGGAAGCCGAATATGAGCTGGCCCGCCATCATGCCTAGCGTTAGCCCGGCCTTGATGATACCGCCCTTGTCACTGGGAACTGCATTCTTGGAATCTTTGAAATAGACATATCCCAGCATGGGTACCACTGTTTTCCTGTCAGCATAGTTCTTGTGATCGAGTTAGGGACGTACCAAGTCCAATGCATGAGTTCAAGTAGCCATCCGCCAAGAAGCCAACGCCACAAACAATGATGAACTTCAGCTTCTCCCACACTGAAACCTTTTCCATATTCGAACGCATACCGAGAATTCCGGAGCTCATGATGTAACCGTCACCGATGGGCTCGGAATGGAGGATATAGGCAATGAAAACGAGGTTGTCTTTGAATGGTGCCCAAATGATAGGCTTGTTCCCTGATATCAGTCACCTTGAGCAGAGATTCTGACTTGAATTTGAATGATTTCCTGAAATTATCAATAGTATCATAACAGCCTTTTATCATGACTGTTCTCTTGACGAGGGTCCAGTTTCATCCTTCAATAATACTAGAATGGTTTTTTCAGGGACTTCTTTGATCTCTGCCAGGAATCGTGAACTCCCAATAAACTACACACGTGGTAGGCTTGTTGGTTTGTGCGGAACCCCGAAAAGAAGATTTCAAATCTTATATCGGCTGTGGGGCACCGAATACTGAGCTACATTCAGCCAATGAAAATGAGATTTCTCATCGTAAATAATGAGCACGAAAAAGCATGGGAATTAGTTTTGTTTGTGGTAGATTTAACTATGAGATATGCACGCCCCAAGATCAAGAGTGAGGTAAGTTTGCAGGCAGTTGGTGACGACAAAAACAAACGTGGGATATATTTTTCTCGGATCATGAGAATCTGAATATGCCCGGACACTAAGGCCACAACATGAGCCTCCCCCTACCCTTCCGTTTTTCGTTCCGAACAAAATAAAGTTTGAGTCTTTCTTGTAGGACGTGAAATGACCGGATCGATAACTTGATACCTGTACCCTATCTAGGTCGTGTGGCGGGGTGAATAAGGGCTGGCTTCATCACCCTTTTGCTCAGTAGCCTGCGGTTTACGGACCCATAATTCAACAAATTCTCTGGCTATTGCCGTTCATCGTATGCGGTCTTTGGTAAATTCGGGTAGCAATTAGTCTGGTACCGAACCGATTGATACTACAGCCCTATCAATCTTAGTCTCGGGAACCCAATGCCGAAGCGAGTTCGGAGGCTTGGAAATAGGCGTCTCCGGTATAGAACCACGGTCAGCAACGGTCTCAAATTTCCACTACAAATGCTTAGCCAATGTCATTCCCGTAAGAAAAAACGTGGCCAGCAGGGCACTAACGCCAGTTTGTGCGTCACGGAACATTGCCGGCTCTTGGCTCGTTCCTTCGGAAGATGGAATGCCGTCTTGGAGTATAATATGGCCCACCCTATTTTAATGGTTGCACTTGAGAAATAGATGCCTTCTGCGACTTTTTAAATACTAGGCAGTGTTTGCGATTCTGTAGCCTATAGCTCGGCATAAATGTATGTCGAAAGTGTCGAAAGGATATTCCCTGATTCTAACGCACGCAGTACAGAGGCCATGGATTCGACGCATACGGGAAGTTCTGTGGCAGACACCGCCGGGACAATTCATTTCGAGACCGCACGTTCCACGGTCAGTTGGACAATTGAAAAAAGCTTCAATGAGCTCGAAAAAATCAATCTCAGTCTTCATCAGCGCCCGGAAACTGCCTATCAAGAGTTCTTCGCGCACGAGACGATCACAAAATTTCTTCAAAGCCGGGGTTTCGACGTTCATTGCAGTGCCTATGGGCTCGAAACCTGTTTTGAAGTGGAAGTGGGACATGGTGGTCGGCTTGTGATCTTTTGTGCCGAATATGACGCTCTGCCAGATATCGGCCACGCCTGTGGTCATAACCTCATTGCAACTTCATCGCTCGCAGCATTCCTGGGGGCTGTTGAAGCACTCAAACAAGCAAGGAGACCGGGCCGCATCAGACTTCTTGGCACGCCTGCGGAAGAAGGTGGAGGTGGTAAGGTGAAGCTGATCGATGCTGGAGCATTCCCAGAAGAAGCTGCCGCTGCCATCATGGCACACCCAGTAGCTTACCATCAGATCATGCATGGACCCGGAGTTTACGCTGGCGTGGCCTCTCTTAGATTCATCGCAAGCCAAAAGTTCCGGACAGAATTCCATGGCAGACCGGCGCATGCCGGATGTGAGCCATGGAAAGGGATCAACGCACTAGACGCTGCAGTAGCATCTTATAACTGCATCTCAATGCTTCGCCAACAAATGGCGATGGATGAACGTGTGCATGCAATCATCGAAGTCGGTGGCACTGTCCAAAGTGTGATTCCTGATTACACGAGAATGAGTTGGAATGTCCGAGGACCGACTATCCAAAGGACTGAAAAGCTGGTTGAAAAGGTCAAAGCGTGTATAGAGGGTGCGGCGACAGCTTCAGGATGCAAGCTGAACTACATAACGTGAGTTGCGCCCGCTATTAATAACTGTATCGTATATTGATTGGAGGCAGTGTCCCAATGTATGCCAACTTACGAGCAAATGGCACCTTGTGTCGAAACTTTGTCAACGACATGGAGAATATCGGTGAGAAATGGTTGATGGACGAAGAGAAACCCATGACGGGATCAAGTGATATGGGCAACGTATCTCACGTAATTCCAAGCTTTCACTGCGGATTTGCCATCCCTAGCGAAGTCGGACTCCATAATCCCGGTTTTACAGCCGCTAGCGGTACCGCTGAGGCACACGAGGCGGCATTGAAATGCGCGAAAGGGATGGCAACCCTTGCCATACGAGTTCTTTTCAGTGATGATGTCGCTGAAGGCGCCAGGTTAGATTTCCAAAGAAATGATGACTGAGTCAATACAACAAATTTACGACGGTAATTATACTCGGAAATCTGGGCCATGGATATCATTATCGTATTCTATGTGCCAGATAGCCTACCTTCAAAATGAATTGTGGCTCTTTGTCGACTTCGCTACATCGCCACCCACCAAAACAAAAACAGTACCTGGGTTAGCCAACCCGGAAAAGACCCTAATGTAACGAATAGAGCCCCAGAACATCTCAGGACCGACTCCTTCTAGTTGTGGGCTGCAAATTTCCGGTAAATTAAAGGAACCGAAGCGATTACACGCTCTACGTCATGGAATAGTCATAGGGTGAATAGTGATAGAATAACACTAGTTTGTACTTTGCATCCAGCCAGCGTTACGTTCACGAAGTTCTTATTAGGGCAGTTCGGTAATCTTGTGTCTATTATCCAGTATGTATCCCAACTAGCGTTGTTCATTCATCGGATCCGAGAAAAATTATATCCGTTTCAGTCTTCACACTAGTTTGGACGTTGTATCCAGCCAGCGTTACGTTCACGAAGTTCCTATTAGGGCAGTTTGGTAATCTTATGTCTATTATCCAGTACTTATCCCAATTAGCGTTGTTCATTCATCGGATCCGAGAAAAATTATATCCATTTCAGTCTTCATATGACCAAACCGTCTGGCAAGTTACTATTGCCATGGAATGAATGGCCGACTTTATCCAAGTATATTCAATATTTGAAAAGTATATATAGAGCTTCAAGATTCCAAAGGAAAACAAATCAAAACCTATTATTAATATTCCAGAAGATAGCTCGAAGTCTTTCAGATTACTCTAAATTAAACCGCTATTGATAACTTTTCAATTCTTAGCCCCCAGCTTCGCTATATTTAGATTTTCTTATATCTTAGCCTTACTAGCTCTCGCTATCCCTTATACAGCAGGGGAAGTACTAAAGGTATATAATATTAATCCTACCTTAGTATCTGTATCAGGACTCTCTATAGGGGGTTTTATAGCAGTATAGCTAGGTATTATATACTCTAATACCTTTAAAACAAGCTTCAGGGTTTTTACTAGAGGACTATTTAATTATATTTAGAATTAATTTATAAGATATATCTCTTACTTCCTGCTAGAATAAACTAATACTAAGGTTATTCTTATAGTAGTATACTACTTATATATATAATAGCAAGCTGTTTATTACCCAGCTATTAAAGAATATAAAGTCCTGGAGTAGTAATTAAATTAATAATCTCTCTAATCTTATAAACTATTAAGTCTATCTTTAAATAGGATCTACTAATACTATAGTAGAACCTAGGGTAATAGAGCAGCCTATATCTTCCCTACTGATTTTAATAGCTCTAGAGATAACCCTTATAGCTAAGCTTTCTCTCCTTTTATTAGTAATTACAGATATAATAGTACTAGTATAGTATTACAGTAGATATATAGTAACCTTATAGTCTGAAATACTAGTACTTTATCTAGCTCTATTATTTCCTTTACTTAAAGTAGATCTTATAGTACCTCTAGATTAGTAAGTACTAGTTATCTTTATATCCCTACAGTATATAATAATAACTTAATTATTTACAAATTATATATTATATTATATAGCTGTTAATAAAGCTATAGTTAGATTAGTACTAAGTTTATTAAAAATACTAGGTTTAATAAGTAGGCAGATAAGGTTTTATATAATAACTATCTGAATATAATACTAGATACTAATACTTACTGTACTACTACAGATATAAATAATATTATTATCCTCTACCCCCAGGCCACTACTAACTACTCTATTTATCCTATCTGGGGTAGACTTTATTTACCTAACCCTAATACCTATTTTAACTGGGTAAGCTAGTACGGATTAAATACTAACCAGAAAGGAGGTAATTTAAACCTATATTATATTTAAAAGCTCAATAGTACTAATAACTATATTCCAGGTATTCAAATAACAGCTCTAGTAAACTAAGTCAACCAGATTACTAGCAGCTATACAGCTTAAGTATCATTCAATTGTCTACATATTAGGATTAATATTATCTTATAAGGTCCTCATGGAAACTTTCTGAATCCACCAGTGGTACTGGCATGTTCCTGAGCAAGGACACAACTACCTAGATAATTTTACACAGATAAATAGGGTACGACAGTCAATTATCATCATGCCAATTATATCAAAATCACCTTCGTATTACCTTAGGTCAATCTGGGGCGTTCTTATTGTACTAAAGATGACATTGATGACATACAATGAGCTGAGGATACAGCGCTAAGTGGCTTAGGCAGTACTGATGTGATATTGAAATAAAACACACCGACGTTCGATGATTTACATGTTTCAACGAACTGAATTCAATCCATTTTGATCTTCGGTAGGTGCTGTTAAGAATTTTCAGCATGTTACCACGTTTCCATTGGCCAACGATAGCAATCCTGGCGTCTTCTGTAAAACAGGCCGGACTTCGGAGGTCTAGTGGAAATGGTGGGAGGGCAACGGGTATGTGGAGAGCTGGGAGTCGAACGCAAAATTCAAGGGCGACGGAGTAGGGGATGGGAGAACGGGGATCCAGGTACAACCCCACAAGACACAAGAAAGAAGTCACAGCAGCTGGTCACTGGGTGTCTCCCTCATTATCGGTCTTAAATTGTTCTAGGCGGTATTGTTTAGAGCTATCGACAAATGGAACACGGTATGTCCAAAAAGTCACAGCAACAGTTCGAATTTTCAACAAATCACACATAAAGTTACGTACGCGGTTGCATCTAGCAGGAAGGGTACCATGTCTGCGAAGATTCAAAGATGAAATCCTGTCAAGTAGTAACAGCTTAGTGAAATATAGTAGTCATTCTGTTGAGCAAGTACCAAATCGTATGTACTAGATTCATACAAGTCCTCGTCGAGTAACATAAAGAGCTATTTCAGCCCCCAGAAGCAAGAGCCTTAAGGCGAGTCACGTCGCCGTTGAATAGATCAGAGTCTCCACCTTGAGGGTACTTCGCGTTGTATTGCCATATAGTGTGAACGCTCCAACCTGCGGGGATTTGACCGACAGCACTTGCATATCGCGCCACCCACAGCGGGCATCGAGATCCAAACTTGGCACTGTTGCCAGTGCACTGGGTCCACCAGTCAAGAGTGGTGTAAATGACAGGCCAGCGACCTGTCAAAGCCTGGTATGTTGACACAAAGTCCTCGACCCAGTTCACCATCGCGGTTTTGGACAGCCCGTAGCAGGTGGCGCCACTGGGGTTGTACTCAATGTCCAGCGCGCCAGGCAGGGTGATGCCATCGTTGGACCAACCTCCTCCATTTGCAGCAAAGAAACGAGCCTGTGCGGCCCCGGACGAAGATGCCGGTCGGGCAAAGTGATAGGCACCACGGATAAGACCGGCATTTGTAGCACCGGTATATTGCTTCGAGAAAAGAGGATTTTCGAATGTTGCACCTTCCGTAGCCTAGTAGAAGTGTTAACTTGCTGAGTTGAGACTAAACGGGAAATGTTCCAGTAGAAAATACGACTCGATTCTCACCTTGATGTACACAAAACGATCTCCGTTTGCGTATGACTTGGCAAAGTCAGTAGACGTCTGCCACCCGGAGATATCGAATCCTGGCACTGTCGCTACGGCCATCGTCGCAAGCGAAACAAAGGCTAGATACGGAGAAGTCTTCATGATGATTGAATTCTGGAGACTTGCCAATAAAGTGAAAAATAGATAAACTATGAATTGCTAGGACAAGGACAAGGAGGATGTTCGGATGAAAGACTTATATAATTTGGAGGAGATCGTTTGGTAGAGTCCACATAGGTCAGTGAAGGATTACAAACACACTAAATCTGGTAGTAGCTGAACACTTATGGTATATCCTGGTTGACATTACGAAATCAGCTTCCTATTCAGGATGCAAGGACTCATGGGCCAAATGTGTGATGCAACGCAAGAGTCAATCTATTCCCAAATTGCAAACGTATGGAATAACCAACATGAAATAGTTCCAAACGACATATCTATTTCGGATCCGGGCTGTACTTGCATGGATTCTTAGCTAGCTCTTTATATGTGGCTAGTAAAGAGCAGCTACTTTATTTATACAATCCTGCCGTCTCGCCGCTAGGACAATACGTATCAGTTAGAGCAGGCGTTTAGCAAGGCCAGGAAACCGTTTGGTCCTTATCACTTTTGTTCTATTTGACGATATGGATATAATTTTGAGCTACAGAAAACCCCATCTAGGTTTAAGTACCCGCAATGAATATAGGCAGCAGTATTTCTATAACCAAGCAGCTATATTACGGATCCGAGATATGCCAATACCAATATATTTCCCAATCTAGTATCACCACCAGTTATTACCAAATACAAGCACGTGTGCCAACAAATCACGACACTGCCTGAGAAAATACCCACTCGCCAAGCTCCCAAGTAGTGTAAGCGTCTTGACTGCCTGTAATCATAACCCTGTTTCTTCTGCCTAATTGCAAGGTTTGAGCCAAGACAGGATACGCGAAGATAATTACAGTACAAGGTCATGTCACATTATTCTGACCATCCTATCTCCGTTCATTAAACGTGGTGCAACTTTTTCCATCTATTTCTGTCCGAAGAACCCGAGTTGCTGCAACGGGTATTGCAGTAATGTTAAAATCTCACACCGTTACAACCCGTCATTTGCTGAAAACACCTTTCAACGGAATCATTGAAGTACACATACGCACGTATTTTTTCAGCTATCCCACATCTTTAGGCCATGAGACTTTGAAAAGATAGAAGAGAGTCTTGGGATTTTAGAGATCTGTATATTATTAAAAGGATATTGTTGCAGGTACTGAAAGAAGCCAGCACGAAAGTGATACACTACAGAAGCACTATGAGTTCAAACAGATGCTATATGGTAGGCTATCTGTGGCACTACTTCCATACCTCAGCCCAGTCGCTTAGAAACAAGCTAACCGATGCGTCGTTTAGGTTGGCTTCAGTAGCAGTAGGTAGTGGCTCCCTAGAGACCTTGCTTCAGCTACTCTCATGGTTGACTTTGGCTTCGGAATATGATGGCATCGTCCACGTGGCCCTCATTACCAGTTTTGGAAGTTACTCAATACCTAATCTTACCCCACACACTCTTTTCTCGTTAAAACCAGGGTTCATGCCGAGAATCCGAGACTAAGATATCCGTTGCGTGAGTGGACACCGCAACATTGAGAGTTGTAGGTTTAAGAAAGGCGGCGGTCTACGTCCGCTCTCATATTTTACCTATCCTGGGCATCCTTTCTAAGTCCCTGTCGCAATTCGACTAGGGTGTCTTCCTGGAATGAGACTGGGACGCTGCATCGCTTCCGGGGTTGAAAAAGTTCCCGCTAGTAGTAGACGGACGGCGCTTCCCCAGAGAGGCAAACCAAGTAAGGAACTATTCACTGATGAGGCAAATCCGGCTAACAAGTAGGATCAAAGAATCGGAGATTGGAAGATGTAGCCATCCACTAGCATGCAAGCGCTGCAAGAGGCTTAAGCGAACGTGTGATCGGGCCCAACCACAATGTCTCATACGTTTGCTTTCTACACTTTCCTTTTCCATTCTTTCATAGTCCTTAGTATGACACTTTTGTTCGTCATGTCTGCTACAAATGGGGAAATACTTGCAGGTACCCTGAGACCAACGATCCTCCTGTTACCGCTCGACTGGAACGGATGTCCAAGTTTATGGACACTCTGCCGCCAGAGGATATTCCAACTAGTCCCTGCGCCCTCCACACGGCTACTTAGTAAGTTTTGCCCTTGAATTTCTCAATGTCACTTATAATGATTGAAATGATGAGGGTGTTGACTAGATACAGTGACATTAGCGGTAAGCGACAAGGTAATCGGATTATTTCAATCGCCAAGGTGCTATATCTTGACCCGGCTCCAAAATCTCGACGCCAGCCATTATTCGACTAATACAAAGCCAAGTTTTTACTGCAACTGAACAGGACTAGGTACACGATTGTGGGCTAGGAATTCGTGCTGATGGGATTAAGCTGGGAGAAGGATTAAACTTGCCTAGCGTCCAATAGATAGTTAGCTCCTCGATCGTTAGTAAAACGTTTCCGATGATTGATTCAACATATTGCGGCGTTCGCTTCTTTATTGGGAGTTTTTCTTTCGTTTAGGTGAAAGATGAAATTCTTAGTGATTATCACCCGCCTGCTCTTTGTATTTTCGGTCAAAACATATTCGCTACTAAGTAGCAGGCATGAGGGTTCAGTAAATCTCAAGTCTATTATTTTTTTACCCTGAATCAGATCTCACCGGCTTGCCAGTCCTTTTGACCACTTGGCTTCAGAATTGGGAAGGTGCCATGCATGGTTTGGTGCAAAAGCCCCATGTTAGCTGACCGCAAAGGCGTTGGGATACTTGGTATACATGGTTAATTTATATCAATGTCACTGACAGGGAGAAGTTGAGTCAAAATGCCCCAGCCTTGATGCTGGGGGACAGACAAATTTTGAAATAAGAGTGAGACATCTAGAATATCAAAGTAGCTATACCTTAATTTGTAAGTGATGGGCTTAGCTAGCTGTACACTCATGCGAGAACTAACAGTACCATCTTCAGCCGCCATGGAGCTTCCGAAAATGGCTGCATAAGTTTCCTCTTGGGGCCTTGTGGCGACCAAGCCCGCGCATAACACTAGTTACGCTGAACAAGAGGAACACTGGAACGACCGACACATTGACAGCATGATTGACCACCAAAACTGCGACTCCCTTAACGCGCCATATCCCTGAAATCTTAGCTGCACCCCACGCCCCGTTTGCATTTGACAACTTAATAGGTGTACCGGAACTGTAAGTTAGACTTATCGGTGAAGTCATCGTTAAGTGCATGATCAAAGGCCTCTGCGATACCTGCGTTGTCTCTCTTATTGTTCTCCCAAACGCAGATTTGACGGTACACAAGCGTCAGTCCTGCGGCGACACAGATGCATGCAAGCACCGAGGTCCAGCCGTGGGCGAAGGTAGGTGCTTCAGTCGTCTTGAAAAGGAGGGGTGCAACGACGTTACCCAGGCAATACCCAATGAATAGCCCAGATGAGGCGACGGATCGTTTTGTATAGCCAGCATTGTTGGCTGTTGCCAAACTATAACAGGTTTTAGGTTAACAAACACTCAGCTCCGTTATTGATCAGAATTATGCTTACCCCATTATCACAGCAAAGCTGCCACCCCAGAATGGGAAGAGATAGCAGGAAAACAGCAGAGCCCCTTGTCCATCCCTCGGAAGCTTCCAGAGCAGCGAAGAGGCTATAATCGTGGTCAGGTAACCGGAAATGATAATGAAGCACCGCTTGTTGGGAAATTTGTATGCCAAAAATGGGAGACCGAAACAGCCTATTCCAGCAATAAAACCGTAAGGCATATAGAGAAGCAATGAGTTAAAGGTACTGAACCCGAAGCCAGAGATGATGATGGGCAGGAATGTGGAGCCTGGGCCATTGGGAATTTGATTCAAAAACCCCATCGCGAAGAGGATCCAGAATTTGATGTCGCACAGAAGCTCGTAAAACTGAGCTGCTTTGAAATGGGTATTACGTATGCCTGCGTTGTTCGTCCGTAGCCGAGCAATCGCAATGAATCGCTCTCGGTCACTGAATCCTTTGATGCGAACAGGATCAGGAGGGAAAGTGAACAGAAGCACAAAAGACCAGAGTACCGTAATACCTCCAGCGAAAAGAAACATATATTGCCAGGACTTAAGGGCACCAGAGTTGATGTGGCCGAGGCCATAATTGACCAGCGGCGAGAAGATGGAGACAAATCCAGCTAGTAAATACGGTTAACATTGTCTGAAAAAAACTAGGAAAGGGTTCACTCACTACTGGAGTACCATACTCCCTGGCGGACAGCTTGTTCTCCCTTAGTGTAGAACGATCCAACTGCCATCATGAACATTGGAGAGACGCCGGCTTCGAGCAAGCCTAGGAAGAACCGCTGCACATATAAGGTCTGCCAGGTCTGACAAGCGGCAGTCATCATGAGGCAGGCACCCCAAAGACAGACGATTCCAAAAATGACTCTTTCAACGGGAAATCTTTGAGCCATTAAGGTAGCAGGGACAGCACCAACAAGGAAGCCAATGTAAAAGATAGAAGATGAGAAGGAGTACCGGTCGCCGACATTCAGGTCAAGGTCTGTTCTAAGCCCAAAAATGGCCTAACTTGTATTAGTAAGAGAGATAAGGGATGGGAACGTCGATGTTCTGAACGTACTGCTTGGCCCAGCATAGTTTTATCGTAAAACTGCAGGCCGTAAGACACCGTGAGAATGGTCAAGAGGCGAAGATCAATCTTTCGAACGAGCCTCTTTTCCTCTTCCTCGGTCCATTCCGTGTCGCCAGCATAGGTCGCAATGACCTTCATGCCTTCGTCATCGTGATGGGTGCTGGTCTCAGCTGGTTTTGTCGCCTCCATATCTTCAACATGGTTGCTTTCCGGGGCTTTGCAAGATTTTTGGCCTTCTTCGTGAGATTCTTCCATCTTGGATTCCGTCATGATATTTTCAGCGAAGGTAGATATTAAGACAATCGGATGGACCAATCTTGCAAGTACTGATTGATGGTAAGAGGCTGTGCGCTGCATTTTTGTAACTCTAGCAAGCCAATCAAGGCCTCACACCTACTCGCACAAACTCACTAGGTGCGTGACTCGCGTTACGAATCTACTAACCTTAGCGACAATTTAGACCTTGCTAGTTTGGCGGGGAAATTTGCTTTCGGAACTTGTGGTAAACACGGTATACCACATTATCCGGGCTGACTGGATCGTTCCCCGTGGGGTATATGTATCCTTGAGATCAAAGCTATCAAAATTAGCAGACGCTATCAAACATACCAGACAGGGAATTCCGGCTCCATTGATCGCTATCATGCTTACTGTTGAATGTTCCGGGACGCCGTACGAGGTAAGTTGAAGAATTATAGCCATCAAAAGAATCTAACTAACATTGCCAAGATCGGCCAATCTCACGGTTCTCTAGCCAAGGAACAAATCGGACGCTGTGTGGATTTTTACGCTCGTCACTTCTGGCAACAGAGCAAGCAGACTTGGGTGCAGGTCCAAGAAACGGCGCGAAGGTTTGAGCAGAACATAAAGTCGAACTGGCCTCTCTATCATGATGAGATTAGGGGCATTGCAGATGGATCTAGTCGTGATATTATGGATATTGTGGCTCTTAATGTTCGTACCGAAATTGCCTTTGGTCTTTTCAGCGATGGCTGCACAAGCTTGAGCTGGCATGGCAAGGAAGGAGGAAAACTTGGTCAAAACTGGGATTGGATGCCGGAGCAGAAGCAGAACTTGCTCATTTTAAGAATTAAGGGGGATGGCAAAAGACCCAGCATTGCTATGGTTACTGAGGCTGGGATAATCGGGAAGATTGGCTTCAATGATCATGGTGTTGGGGTTTGTCTCAATGCCATAAGAACTAAAGGTTGCAATCCAGAAAAACTGCCAGTCCATCTTGGCCTAAGAATGGCTTTGGAGTCTTCCTCCGCGGCCGAAGCAGCTGACAGAATGGAGGCTATTGGAATGGCAAGCTCTGCTCACATCATGATCGCAGACGAAAGCCAGGCAATTGGATTCGAGTTCACGGCGACAACTTTTGCGAGACTGCCAATGGATGCTAATAAGTGTGTGGTACACTCCAACCATCTTCTTGGAGACCATCCGAATGTCTACGAGCCAGGTTGGCTGAAGGATTCCCCTTTAAGAGTTGATATCATGAACGGCTTGGTCACAAGGCTTGCCGAAAACACGTCCGAGCCAACATTTGAGGAATTTGGAAGGTTGTTTGAGGACGAGCAGAATTATCCAGCTGCCATATGCCGCAAGCTCGAGGGGGATAGTGGCGCCGAAACTTTGTTTAACATTGTTATGGACTTGAAGAATAAGGTTGGTGTGGTGAAACTGGGACGGCCTGTGGCAGTCGAGGAAACTGTAAACCTCAGCTTTCTTTAAAGCTCCACAATGGGAACCTTGGTCAACCGTGTTCTTTTAGGGTTTGACTTGAAATTACATATTTTACTATAAAGATTTATATTGGCGCTACTTGAGACTGTAACCACCTTGGTGATACTATATCCAGTAGCATTCAAGACAATTGTGCATTTGCTCTTAGGGAGCGAAGTAGCCGTTCGCCCATCACGCATGAACTTTCTTGCTGCCATTATTACGCGCAAAACTGGTCCCATGCTGACCTCCGGCTGCACCTTCATTACAACAGGTCCCGGCGAGATGCTCTTGAATACTTCTGCAATCATTTTGGCGGGAATAGTGATCTGTATCTTTCGAGGTATCATGAACGCCGTTACCGAGCTCAATATCACGGTACCGGCCGACCAAGCTACCGCATGGCTCGATAGTACGCAAGATACTTTTCAGCAGCTCCACCGTTGCGAGGATGCTTTGAAGTTGATTGGCCAAAAGAACATTCTGCTGGGCTTCCTGTAGAAGCAACAAACACAGGGTGCGTCAATGGGTCTTCAATCCAACAACAATCTAATACTTGACGCAGCTCATGCCAACGACGAAACAAGGGCTCTGGAATTAGAAAGAAAGTGCTTATCATGTACGTTCGACCTTGACTAACTAAAGTGTGACGACAATTTTGTATCTGGTAGACACGGCATTTCTTCAAGTTTTAGCGTGTATTTCTTCACTTTCATGGCTTGATAAATATCCATTATCTCACTTGGATATAGAATTCAGCTACTGTTAGACAAGTCTATCCCTTGAGGAAGTGGGTTTCAGTGAACATCAACTATTATCTTTCCGTAGTTGGGCCGATTCTCTGCTAAGTCGATACAAAGCCCGATACTCATATGCAACGGCCAGTCGGAGATTCTGGGAAGTTAGGGTTGAACTTGCGTGTCTGAGAAGTAGCACGCAACTAAGCTAGAAATGGTAGTAGGATAACGATCCGCCGTCAATGACGAGGGACTCCCCAGTGATGAAACTTGCTCTTTCGCTAGCAAGGAACACTATTCCTTGCGCGATCTCTTCTGGCCGGCCCAGTCGGCCAAAGGGAATCGCATCAACAATATTTGGCGAGTAGGTGCCAGCTTTGAGCCCAACTTCTAGAACTAAGCAAGGTGTAAAGGTTAGTCGAAGCTGGAAACTACTCTCTATGGACAGACTCACGAGGCGTCAAAGTTGATCCTGGGCAGACTGAGTTGACTCGAATGCCATCTTTAGCATACGTAATTGCATCGGTTTTGGTCATGCCATTGACAGAGGCCTTTGATGAGGAATACTTTTCTTGTGTCAGCTCTTGAAACCAAGTCTCATCTCATCGGCAATAACTTACTGCCCCGTTTGTAGCCTGTGTTGCGAAAGCGAAAATTGACGACAAGTTGACGATTGCTCCTCGTTGAGCAGATGCGCCGGTTCTGGCTCCTCGTCAGTCAGCAGAACAAACTATTTCCATTCTTTAATTCGCACCTCATAGATAGACTCGGTTCCTGGCTCAACATTTGCCTGATCTCGGCTCGCTGGCACAGCCAGGTCCCCCGCCCATTGATATTCTGCACCCGATCCCAGGCTTCCACTTCGAGCTCATGTGTCTTTACCCTGGGTTGACTGGCCACGCCAGCATTGTTCACAGCATAGTGAATGGCTCCGAATGCCTTGACGCCGTCATCTATCATTTTTTGTACATCTGTCTCGGAAGAAACGTCACAAAGACAAAGGCAAGTCTTGACCTCGGGGTTCAATTTCTTTAATTCTTCCGCAACAGTACTCAATCCACCTTCGTCCAGGTCAGCTAGGATCAAGCGAGTACAGCCTTCCTCTACAAAGATGTGAGCAACAGCACGACCAATGCCAGAAGCTGATCCTGTGATCAAGGCAACTCTACGTAGATGGTCAGTTTCGTTTCCGAAGCTAGGGGGCGAGAGGGTGGGATCTCTGCTATACCCTTCCATGATATGGGGCTTTGGTGCCATGGTTCTAAGTGGTCGTCGCAAGGAATGATAATTTGCAGGTTGATGGATATGTAGCTAAAATTCGACTCAAAACGGTGCTTTTTCCTGATAGCTAGCCGATACAATTCTCTCACATCAACAATCAGTTTTGCAAGTTTTGCCATGTAGGCTACCTCGTGTTATCTTTCAACTAACGAAGTGCGGCAATGTCGGCACGTGCATGCCGAATTCACTTACGTAGATGTGGATAAAGTGGTATATCAGCAGGGTTACCTCGTACTAGAGTTTCGGCTACAGGTAAGACACCACCTTTGCCGTGTGGGGGGATCCACGCATGCCTTGGTTTGCTAGGGTCCATGCACCGGGAATTGCGCCTCAGAGTATTACGGTTCACTGACAATAACAATAGCTTGCTATCGGTTCAATGGAAAACTGCAAAGTGCGATAGTAGTTTAGTAAAGAGACGGAGATGGGTTCCTGCTTCAATGCTCCCTTCTCCGCGTGATCATAGAGTCCGAGTAGACTGGCTGTTTAAAACGAAGTCCAGATCATTGGCGTTGCTACCGTTTCTTTTGCACTTCGTATGAACATTAGATCCTGTTTTCACCCAGCTCTATACTAATATATACGAAGTTGATTTCTAACATTGTTGCTTTTTTTCCTTACCTTGTCATCCAGTCATCCCGATACCATCTGACAAACCAGAATCAACGCGACATATTCATCTTTCTTTTCTCTGCTTTCTTTAAAAGTCTCAAATCTATACTTTGAGCCACCTTGCCCTCACAAGATTGCAAACACGATGGCTTCCCATCCACCGCGGAAATGTTGCACCTTAGGCACCCTTCACGAGTATGTCACCTCCGCTTTCATGACCTACAGTAACTCCCCTCATACCATCCGGTGATTAACTGCAGTAGGGGGGAGCCTAGAGGAAAATTGATCAAGGTTGGAGAACGCCAAATTGAGGCCTATCTGGCCATGGCCCCTGAGAGCGAGGGGCATAAGCACGTCGGCCTTCTTTTAATTCCTGATGTCTTTGGTATTTCGCTAAACAGTAAACTCTTGGCCGATATGTTTGCAGATGAAGGATTCACCACTCTTATTCCTGACTTTTTTAATGGGGATGTTCTGCCTAATCCCCGCCCGGCAGGGCTGGACATCAAGGCCTGGATCAAGACGGGTAGTAGCGGCGACAATCCTCACACGCCTGAGACCGTTGATCCTATCGTTGTTGCCGGCCTCGAAGCTCTGAAGGGCCTTGGTATCAAGGAAATAGGAGGGTTAGGATACTGCTTCGGAGCTAAGGTAAGCGAATGAAGCGGCTGTGTTGTTGGAAAATAATTACTGATTCACCCGCAGTATGTAGTCCGTCACTATAATAACGGGATCAAGGTCGGATTTGTGGCACACCCGTCGTTTGTTGAAGAAGATGAGCTCGCTGCCATCAACGGGCCGCTTGCTATTGCTGCTGCTCAGACAGACCCGATCTTCCCACCGGAGAAGCGCCGGATTTCCGAGGAGATTCTTATCAAAACGAAACAACCATACCAGATCAACATATACTCTGGTGTTGAGCATGGATTTGCTATTCGCGGGAACCCCAAAGTGAAGCTTCAAAGGTATGCAAGGGAGCAGGCTTTCAAGCAGGCTGTACACTGGTTTGAAGAATTCCTTGTCCAGGGACCGGTAGAGGCGAATAAATAGTTGAAATAACGATAACTACGATGCATAATACATAATACACAGACTATCATCGTCATGATCTGCATGTATTTGTAGAAAGATGCCGAAACAGATCAGCTGATTTAAAAATATGGGTTGAAAATAGGATGAAAGGAAATGTGCTTTGCTCTTTGGTGAAACATAAAATGACGGATGCATCAATCGGTGCACTACAGCTAGTGTAGTATAACAAAATATAACTGCTCTTCCTACAGAGAAAATATTCAGAGCTATTATGAAGAATTTTATTTACAGTGATCTATTAACTTGATAGCTCCTTTGAAATACTTATAAAAGAGTCAAGGGGATATCAGCGGTGACTAATGCAATGATGATAAAAACGGCCACAGGGTGTGGCGGGTAGTAGGTTAAGTGGCCCTCGGTTAGACCTTTTATTACTGGACTAAACCAAACCTAGTAGAACTTAGTCATAATGATGCTAAAATAATGCCAACCTCCTCTTGGCGAGAAGAATGCGGGGTTGGAAGTCTGAACTCTATCAATGTCTCTCTCGATAAAAAGATATTTCGTTACAGCATTGCAATAACCCTAGGTACACAGCAAGTCGTCAGGTTGCAGTGGTGTGGGCGGGGGACCGTTTCCAGAGCTCTACATTTCCAAGCTTTGTCCAACTCGGCTTTTACCTGGGACCGCACTCGTTTGATCTACACTTTTCGCCGCAACCAGAACTATGTTTTCCTGCGACACATGCGGCCGATCCTACGCAAGACGAAGTTCCTTGGCCCGTCATCGTCACAATCATCGCAAAACAAAGCAGCACGTTTGTTTGCACTGCAACGTCGTCTTCTATCGACAAGATCTTTTGGCAAGACATTTAACATCTCATGAACGCTCGTGCCCATCAATGGACACAGACGGCGGCCAACGAGAGGTTAGAAAGCGCTGCCACACCGCTTGCCTGCAATGTCGCAAGCTGAAGGCCAAATGCAGTGGCAACGTGCCGTGCGACAACTGCTCTAAACTAGGTAAACCCTGCCGCCTGTCCAATTCCACCAGCCGCATCAGTCACCTGGCGGAGCAGGAAGATCGATCCACTAGCATGTCGAACATGGTCTCGGTGGAGGACCAGGCATGCGAACCACAACCTGAGCCTCAACCTGAGCATGGCTTACCTGCTCCACAACGTAGTGAACACCATTCAATCGATACCATCCATGATCCCGACTTCTTGTCAGAGTCCTCTCCTGCACAGTGTTCTAACCATAACAACTTTCCAATATTTGATAACGCGGATTTGTCAATGCTCGGGGCCGGCACGCAGCCGTCCAACGAAGATCCGAACAGTGGCAACATGGTACTTGATCCTTTCATGTTTGACTCACTCTCTTGGCCGTGGCATCATGAGATATCGTATCTCCTGGGGCCGGAACCTTTGAGCTTCGTTGACCAGGCTTCGACGAGGTTGCAGCAGGACGGCTCTGGTGAACCACAAAACATGCAACCTATAGCTGACGTCAATGACACGGTACAGATGTCGTCTACTGCCCAGACATCGGGGAACCACGAACACACATCGTCAGCAAACCATAGCAAATCAAACTCGGAGACTGGTATTGAACAAACTCGGGTGCTTGAAGATATCATAACGTTTGCGTTATCTGTTAAAAGTGACGCGAGTACCAGCCTCGACTACTCTCCGTCTTGGTATACCTTTTCCTTAAAGGTTGCCAGAGCGTTCAATATAGAGCAAAGTGGAGAAAGCGAAAGTATGCCGCTTTTAGGGCATTTCGTTCACCTTTTTTTCAGACACTTTGAGCCACTGTGGCCAATGTTTTCTTTACAAAATCTCTCCATAAACCGCCTTCATCCTTTACTCTACCTAGTTCTGACATCGATTGGGGCAATGTATGGCGATAATCAATCAAGCTACTTTGGGACAAAAATGCATGCTCGGGTGCAAGCATGTCTTGTAGAGCCTTTGGAGTTGAGAGACCCGGAGTATGATGCTCCTTGGCTCGCTCAGACACGTTGTCACTCACGGGTAGCGGCATTGTATTTCGGTCAATCGAGGGCAATTTCTCATGCGCATCATCTAGGAACCTTGCTTGCGGCTCAAGTCAGTCGCATGGAGCTCTTCTCCGCCGCCTATTCTTTGGCCAGTATGGAAAAGTTTCGCAACTTAGATGGCTCTCTGACAGACCAAGAGAGGCTAGCAATTTGGCTGAGACTTGAAAGCAGACGTAGATTAGCCTTTGGAATCTATCGCTCTGAAGCCTACACCAGTCTTCTGCTACAGTCGAAACCGCTATTTTACCTTGGCGAGATCGACCTAGCCTTTCCATCGTGCGATGCTGTATGGAATGGCCATAAAATGGATGCGTCAGTCTGTATACAGTTGATTGAGAATGACCAGACACCTGGAAGGGATCTCGACGCTTCAGAAATCTATCACATCGCCCTTGATAGAGGAGAAAACCTTCCTCCGATGGATCCTCTGGGTTACGAACTGCTAGCACTCGGGTTACTATGGCCCACTTGGGAATATTCTCGAAATCCGACGCTGCTATCAAGACTCTGTGGTGAGGAGTTATCTGTGCCAGACGAGTTAGGCGATGTAGCCGTTACAGAATCCTCAACCACTCATTCAGCTTCTCCTCGATCCTCGCACTCTGGTGCTGCACGTCATCCATTCGAGATCCGCGACTATGATCATCTTGACAGAACGTCTAGGAAAATGCTCGACTTGCATTCTGGGTACAAGCGGTTGCTTCTAGCTCTGCGCAAATGGGAGCAATCACTTCCAATGGTCAAGTCATTCGTGCGTTCACAACGGGATCGTACATTACTAATGAGCGGACTTGTCGTCCACCACCTTGTTTACTTGCGCCTTTCTGCGCCTGCCGCCCATCTTCATGAGCTACAGTACGGAATGAGAGATGGAAGGTTGCCCGACGCGAGCTCCATGGCATCCATCGTCCGATGGCTTCAGTCACCACGCTCTCGATTTGCTGCTGAACGAGCGGTGTCTATATGGTCCCTCATCGCTGGTGAGTGTACAAAGGCAGCACAGGAGCGCGCTCGCTTCAATCTGGTAACTTTTGCCGGGTTGCACGATGCAGCCGTGTTGCTGTGGGCGTATGCCAGCACCATACCCAGCAACGAACCCAGTAGCCCTGGCGGGTCTGCGTTGGCGCTTCGTAGCAGAGACTCCCAGACTGATTGTACCGTCAACCGGGAAAACACCACGGAGATTCTCAGATTATTTGGAAGTCTTTTGGACGTTATCAGCCCAGTTCAATCGTCCTCCTTCGCTCAAGCCACGAAAAGTCTCATGGGCATACCGTTTCCGTATGGAGGTAGTCTAATAGCTCAGTAATGTGAAGAAGAATTGTCCAAAGGCTGTATTTAGAACGGAGCATATGTGAGGTCTAGAACGGCATTGAATGGAATACCATTCATGTAACTTGTATTTATACTATCCATTCTCTATTCTTTGTCAACATCATGAGAAGCCTGGCTTTGACCAGGCCGTAACTAAACTTCATATCTGAGCGAAACTGAGCATGATGACGTGACTGAAAACGCCAGTTTTTTTTCCCTTTCTTTTCTTGGACTATAGGCTTGTCCTAGAAAGCATTACCGATTTTCGAAAGTAGTCTTGCTCCCGTGGCAAACATGGTTCGCGACTTTGCACATAGGCCATCAATGAATGGTGCGGCAGTCGAAGCACCATATGTTCTCCCGGGTCAGATAGCATTGACCAATTGAGAATTGAGCTTCGGAGAGGCGTGCCTACAGATACAGTGAAGGGCATTGAAGCAAAGGTTGCTCCCGGTAATGTGGTATGGGTGGCTACCAGTTTAGCAAGTGGCGGCGGAGTTGGTGTACGGCACCGGGTATTGTGGCTCTTGTGGGGAACTCGCCACCGAACCCTCGATGGCTGTATACACGGTTGCTGAGGAATTACGGTAGAACGAGAACAATCATGGACAGGTCTTCACAGCCGCATTGCCGAGAGTATCAAAATGCTTTGCTTAGTGCGGGGAACGAGTCCAGGGAAGCCAGTAACTCGCCGATACCGCAACGGTCATACTACATATTTAAAGGAGCTGACATAATTGAAGCTACTTCAGGCAGATAGAGTTTCTTCACCTCCTCCTACATTTAGTAACGGAAGGGCGCACTTTTGAATTCACCTTGAGATTTTTCTTCCTTTTTTAAGCTTCTTCCCATCATTTTTCCATACCTTCACAATACTTCAATCATGGATCAGACTTTCTCTCAACGGGCTATAGCTATCACTGTACGTATTTTTAATAGTGTTACCTCCCTTCTTGATGTTCATGCTGTTGATATATTTGCCTCCACCTATAGGGCGGGGCCTCGGGAATTGGTTTAGCGATTGTGAAAGCGCTTGCGTCCCGTGGAGCCCACGTGTACATTGCCGATATAAGTCCCAATCTGCCACAGGAGCTTGCTACTCTGGACAATGTTCATTTCAATGGAAACTGTGATATCACTTCACGTGTTGCCTGTAAGAAGTTCATTGACGCAATCCCTGGAAGGCTAGATGGTCTTGTCAACTGTGCGGGGATTTGCCCGGCAGAGAATAAGATTGTTTCAGACGATTTGTTTGCCAAGATCATGGCAGTTAACGTCACTGGATCGTGGAATATGGGAACTGAGGCCATTCTTCGAATGGCTGATCAAGAGTCTCGCACCTCAGAAGGTCTTGTTCCGGGATCTCAAAGAACTCTACCCGCGGGTGTTATCGTCAACATCACAAGTGGTGCGGCAATGCGAGGCATTGCCAATCTTGCAGCATATTGTACATCGAAACATGCGGTGTTGGGAATGACACGGGCTTGGGCAAAAGATTGGCCGACTCTACGCATCAATTCTGTTGCCCCTGGTATGACTTTTCCAATCCCATAGCTTCTAGACAGACCCTAGCATTAGCTAACAATTGCAGGAACCACGGATACACCTCTTGCTCGAGGCGACGCGAAGACCAGCGGCAGTAAAGAGGATATAGAGAAACGAGTGGCACAGTTTACTTCTCGAATCCCTCTGGGCAGAGTGGCATATGACACTGATATTGCTGACGCTGTGTTGTTCATGCTATCAGATGCCGCGAGCTACATCACCGGCCAGGTCCTCCCGGTGAATGGCGGCTCTGATTAAGGCGTGTACCTACATCCCCTGGGCCTGCAGATTCAAGGTGGATATGTTAGCATAGTACCGTTGTACGCTTGATGCGCTATGTTAGATAACCAATTCAAATTGATACTGCCAATGAGAACTTGAATTTTAACTGGTCGTGTATGCCATTTGACGCTCCTAGTGGATGATGACTCTAACACGCGTGTTGAATTAACTCCTGGTGCTACCCCAGTGCTACGCATCAGTGTAGCCCTACGCGGACGTATATCCAGACTAAGTAAGACAGAGGCTGTTGAACTTTTTAGGTTATAAACTACAGCTATTCAACAATTCTTAAATGACAAGTTACTCTTTGGGAGAGGAAAACCAATTTCTTCATCAGAAGGCTAAGTTAGTGTATAGTATATCTCACTTGTGACATAGAGTGGCGTGTCCTTTGTGCATGATTTGTACTCTGCAGAGGCTGATCTGAGCATCCCAGTATTATCAAGTATTATTATGCTATAATTATACAAGAGAGCCATTGACTTGAATTCCCATAGGTATGTTTTTGGGGGCCTAGTCGCCACTTTGGTTAATTTGTGGCCTGATCTTATCAGTCTTCATACTACATTGGTTCGCTCCGGTAGCGGACATAACTCAATTTGGGGATATAAAAGACGATCTTCCATTCTCAAAACTACTTTCTATGAAGCATGAAATCCATTGATTCCGTTGATACGTTTAGCTTGCTTCTCATTCACCAGCAACAATCCTCCCGGGTTGTTTTCAGTGCCCAAGTAGTAGGCCAAGTCACTCCCATCAAACTCCTTGATGCTGAAGCCATTCCCAAGGAAGGCAAATGGATTGCCAGCTCGATACTGAATCTGGTAATCCTCATACCGCGGTGCTTCCATCAGTCCAAAGAAAACAAGCCGAGATCCAGGGAAAATAGTCAGCTTCCCATCTAATCGTCCTTGCTTGAACCAGCTTCGGCACTCTCCCGACCAAGCCGTCCGCTTCAAGAAGAGGTCGGCGTGTTCAGCGAAGGATTTGCAAACATCCAATTTTGGTATCAGTGATTTGATGTTCTCAACCTGCATCTTCTTTGCAGCTGTTAGGATGTATTTAGTGACATGCTCAATGAGAGGTACGAATGAGCCATGACCCAGGGGCCCGTACGGCCCAACTCCCATCCAGTAGTTCGGAACTATAACAAAGCAAAAGGTTAGAAAATTGACGACAAAGCGGCGGGTATGTGAGAGTACTGACTCTCGGGAACGGCGACTGAGAGGTAAGAGAGTGGACCATCTCTCATTATATCTTGGACGTTCCTCCCATTTGCAATAATGGGGATTCGGGGCACCCAGGATGTATCAAACCTGCAAGATGTTAGACTTTGGCCTTGTCTCTGCAATTCAGACTCACCCTGTTGCACAGATAATAACATCGACCTCAACCTCAACTCCATCTTCATTCATAACTCCCTTTGACGTGATCTTCTTTATGCCCTGGGTGAAGGTAGTTACATTTGGGCGAATGAGAGCTTCCAGAAACCCATTTCCTGGCTGCGTGCAGAGGTCAGAATCGATACAATTTAAGAAGAAAGACATTGAACTTACTGTTGGTCTTCTGCAACCGACATTGAAATTTGTAGGTATCAGCCTTTCTACCAGGTCTGTTCGACCGTTCAGCCTCTTGGTCATCTGGGCGGTGGAAAACTGCGATAGAGCGTTTAGCAAAGTACCTAGTGCATCTTAGGAGCGCGCCTTCAAAATCGTACCTCTTTCGCCTGTGCTGATTCTTGCGTCCCGTTCAGGATGAATTTGAACCGCTGGTTGAGTTCGCTCTCAATCGCTTTGCAATACTGAAGGTACGAAGCTGGATCTTGCGCAAACTTTTGCTTTTGAGCCGAACTGTCTGCACAAGGAATCAGCCTCCAGCTCTGAAAGTTTCACATTGGGCAACGTACACTCGAAATTGGCTCCATTTGGCCCAGCATGATTTTGGGCGAACCCAGCAGTAATCCACGTAGGAGACCTGATCCAAGTATACAGACGCTCTGCATAAGAGGAGACTTCTGCAGTTACCTGGATACCACTACTCCCCATGCCAATGACAGCCACGCGTTTGCCTTTTAGATCCACGCTGGTATCGAAGCGGGCAGTGTGGCATATCGTGCCCTTGAAGTCTCGCAGTCCGTCAATGTCGGGCCATTTCCAATTGCTAAAGAACAGTTAATTCACCGTGTAAAAGTCATCTTCCCGTGGGTGGTACGTACTTCAAAACTCCGCTACCGTTCACCAGAATCTCAGCGCTGTCGACGAACTCCTCTCCAGTGAGAAGATTCTTCACGGATACTTTCCAAACTCCACTGTCCTCGTCCCAGACCGCGCGGGTAACTTCATGATTCAGTTTCATGGCTTTCTCTAAGCCGTACTGATCAACGACATCCCGCAAATACTGCCAGATCTCTTTGGCATAAGAGTAAAAGTGCGTCCAGCTGGGATTTCTGGCCCATGCGAACTGAATCGTTTTAGCAAGTGGACCCTAGATGTCTCACACCACAGCTTACCTGGTAGTTGACCGAGGGAATATCGCACGCGCAACCGGGGTATCTTGTATCCACAGTTAGCACCTAGAAAGTGATCGGTCGCACCCCCAACCGTCAACCACATACCTATTTTCTAACCAAGTACCTCCGATGTCGCTATTCTTGTCGTAACACACCAACGACGCATTGTTGAGCATCTCTGGGAGGAATTTTGCTAGGCATATCCCAGAAATGCCAGCACCAATGTGAATGACTCGAATGGGCCTCTCATGGGCAAAGACTTCCTCTTGAATTTTGTAGCCTCGCTCATTCTGCCTAGGCCACTTGCACTGATCGGCAAGTTTTTCAAACTTATCGGTTCCGACGGACGAAGGGGGCGGAACCGTATCCTGGATTGAACCAATTGATCCCATGGCGATTTAGAAATGAATTCACTTGCAGTTTTTCTTATTGTAATTTGAAGTGGCTTTCTGTACGGTAGTTTCGTCGAACTGAGTTTATATAGTGACAATATTAATATTTACAACTAAAGAATGTTACTATCGACATCGGGCCTTTGTCTGCTGTGGCATACCAAGAGCCCAAGTCCGCACTAGTGGAAACCTGATAACCTCTTCGTGCTCAACAAGCCCCACACTATCCGAACTCCCGGATATTGTGGTGTTTAATATTTTCCGTTGATTGCAGATTTCTGGAAAAGCCGCGAGCCACCACCGTATCCGCAACCCCTACTATCCCCTACGTAGCCACGATTGCCACGTTAAACGTTGCGGAGAAACTAGCAAGGAGGTTTCGGCGACGTGCCTCGCCAATGAGCAATTATTCCCGGAGGCAGTGGCTCTTAGGTAGGGGTTAGATTGCTGTCGTCAGGTAGATTCAAGAGTTCATCCACAGATACGGGATTGAAAAACTGGCACAACATCAAGATTACATCGATCACGACAGATACGCTTAAAGGAGGCATGCTTACGCGCCCTTTTTCATGGGTTGATTATGTCCTAATAGAGCTGTTCCTCAATCTTATGGAGTTTTATTTTCATGTTCATTCTGTTAAATGATGGATATTGGGCTTGTTCCAAACAACCTCGTCTTCATGCGCTACAAGTGCAGCCATGATAGCATCCACAAAATTCCATCTTAAAATCATATTAACACTTTGTACTACTTGGAACTGGATTAGGGTTAGCTTTGTGTGTGGAGAAGTTACATAGAGGATATTTGTTACTGTTACTGCTCGGGGAGCTAGTATGGAGAGACTGAGGCTAAAATGTTTGCTGACGCTAGTAAGTGATTTTGTTGCACGGTAAGGCCGTAGGTAAGCAATAGCATGATTAGGTAAAAAAAGCGCGGCCAAATTGTGCTCAGATAAGTTTGGGTCAACGAGGGTGTTGTAGGCGTGTTCTTGAGATTCGATTCATAAACTCCTGTACCTAGGTGAACCACTGGAAGTTTAGTTGTTCGGGTCTTGTGCAGCTAATCCCGATAGAAATCGTCTGAACAATAAAAAAAGGAATAATCCAAGTCAGGCATCCCCCAGTATGGAATATTTGATAGATATACTGAATAAGTAACTCAACTGTTCTATCCCCTGAGACTATATATAGCGATATCTAGTAGATATTAATTAAATTTAGAGGAGAAACTAAAATATACTAGTATAATATAGGATAACTATTAATTAATCTATAGAGCAGGTATTAACTAGCTATATTCTAATAATTAGAGATCTAGAAGATTTAAAGCTTAGTAAATATACTAACCTTAAGTATATAATATTAATTATATATATATTTACTCTTAATTTATAGTATTTATAGAGCTATATTTAATTTTATTATAATTCTAAATTTAGATATTTACTAAGTAATAGAGAAGATATATATAAACTAATAAATTAGAGTATAATATAATATTATAAATAAAGACCTTTATAATAGATTATATAGTTATATATATCCTACTATCTAAAGAATAGAAGTAATAGAAGTATTATACTTCTATTATAGAATATAATTAAATTACTAGAAGTAATATACTTTTTATACTCTATAACTATTATATATATATTTTTACTTTATTAATTAGAATACTTCTTTAGATAGTTATTAATAGTATTATCTATATATTTATTATTACTAGCTTTATAATACTTATATATTAATAGTAATTTATATTATATAGCTTATAATAATCTAATTATACTATTTAGAATAATACTCTAATTAATTTAATTTTAATTTACTTTAGATCTTATTTAGTATAAATTATCTAATTATTATATATTAATAACTCTTATTTAGCTAATTATTTTATCTTAATTACTATATAATATTAAAAAGATAAAATAGCTCTTACTAAACTAAATAATACTCTAAGAATTCTAATAATTTAGGAAATTATATAGTAGTTTATAATCCAGATTAAATAATTTAAAAAAAGAGAGATAAAAAATAAAGAAGAAATAATATAACTAACTCTATTAGAACTCTTCTTAGATAATACTAATAAATTAAAAGAATTTAAAATCTAATTTTAAATATACTTTAAATTCTTTCTAATTAAACTAGTAATAAATAAGAATAAAGTTAGATTTATAGAAATATTATAATAGTTAGATTAACTTATACTAAATAGAGTCTAGAGTAGATTAGGATTAAACTAATCAGAGTATTATTCTAAATAGTATAATCAGATTATCTTAGACTATATAATATAAATTACTATTAATATATAAGTATTATAGAGCTAGTAATAATAGAGATATAGATAATTATATTAATAACTATCTAAAGAGATATTCTACTTAGTAAAATAAATATATATATATATTAGATAGTTTATAAAGACTTACTAGTAATCTAGAGTAAGTTAGAATAAGAATTATAAAGACTTACTAGTAATTTAGAGTAATTCTTCTCTTATTAGTATAAAAGAGTAGAGATATAATATATAATACTAAGGGTATTTCTTTATTTATAATATATTACTTTTTTTCTATTAGTTTTATTCTAAAACTAAGTTTTATAGTTTAGTATTTTAATAAATAATTTCTTTATTCTTTAACTATCTTTTCTAAATTATTAATAATATTATAATTTATTTCTAAGAAATTCTAATAATATAGAATTCTTATATTATTAATTAAGAAGATAGATATTAAAATAATATCTTATTTAAACTACTTTAGATATAAGAAGATATATTATATAATTAAAATATTATTATACTATAGTAAGTATATATATATAGAATAGTTATATAATAATATAGAAGTAGTATTATAATATATATTTTTCCTTAGTTTATATATATAGTATTACTAACTTCTATAGTAAAATAATTAGTTATAGAGAAGTATTAGTTAGATATTAAGTTAATCTTCTCTAAGATAGTATTTTAGAAGGCTTTAGTAAAGATCTTATATCTCTATTATTAGTACTAAATAGTATAGGAGAAATTCTAGTATTTATTTTATTAGGGTATTAGAGATCTAGATAAGTAGGATAGAGTTTATTCTTAAAAAAAGTTTATTTTAGAGGAATAATAGACTATAGATATAGTATAATCTTTAGATACTATAGGAATTATTAATTAGATTTTAATTCTATTAGAATTTTCTAATTCTTTCTTTTTTTCTATTAATAGAACTACTAAATAAGTTAGTAATAGTTCTTTAAATATTTAATAGGTTTCTATATATTATTATTTTTATTATAGTTTTTCTATTTTACTAAATAAAATATTTATTTATTTCTAATTTCTTTTTTTAGAATTCTTTCTAGTTTAAATTTTTCTTTATAGATCTTAATTAGATAATCTTAGTTTAATATATTTTTTAATACTTTTTTAAGTAATAAGATATAAAAAACTAGATAAATATATATTATATCTAGTAATAATAATTTATAGTTAGTATCTAATTTTTTCTTAAGAATTTTAAATAGTTTAAGTTTTTTATAATCTAATTTATTATTTAATCTTATTATTATAATATTTTTATAGAGTAAATAGACTTTATCTTTCTCTCTTAGAATTAGTTCTTCTAATCTAGTTTTATTATAGTATTTTTTTATTCTTTCTTAGATAAATTTAAGTTCTATCTTTATTTCTATATATAATAAATATAGTATTTCTTTTATTAATATAGTAGTTAGTATATTAGATCCTTTAAGTTCTAATTAGTTTTAGAATTATAGCTTATAACTATAATTTATATATATAGATATTAACTAGATAGATTTTTATACTAAACTATTATAAGTAATCTATACTATTAGTAGTAGTTATATCTAATTATTTTACTTATAGTTAATATATACTTATAGATATTATTTTAGAGTTTAATTTAATTATTCTATTTAATTATTACTTTATAGATAATAAGCTATTAAGAGCTTATACTTAGTACCTATTTATACTATAAATAATTATTAAAACTTAGAAGTAAATATTATTTCTCTATCTAATATAATTTTATTAAATAATCTATAGTAACTAACTATATATTATAAAAACTAGTATATAAGATCTTCTATAGAACTTATTTCTTTATATAGAATAAAATATCTATATTTTATAAATCTATTAATAACTATTAGAATAGTATTATATTCTACTCTAATTATAAGTTCTTTTAATAATAGTAGTTTAATAATATAATTAAAAAATACTAATTATTATAATTATTTTAAAACTAGAACTAGTTTTAGTTCTCTATAGAGTTTATATTATATAGATTTAATTCTTATATAAGTATTATATTCTATAACTATAGTTTATATATCTTTTTATAAATCTAGATAATTATAATATTATCTAATCCTATTAAATATTTTCTTAACTTCTTAATATTCTAAGAGTAAATATTTATAGATTTCTTTAATAAGTATTATTCTAATATCTTACTATAGTTTTTCTAAACTAGAAATAATCTCTATCTAAACTTTTATATATATTATTTCTTTAAGTATAACTTCTAAGGTTTTTTATACTAAATATTCTTTATTATTAGTTAAAAATAACTATCTATTTATTTTTAAAACTACTTTTTTATATTTAGATTTCTAGCTAAAAGTATTAGCTTTTCTATTTTCTAATTCTTTTTAATATATAATTTTATAATTAAATTAAAATAGGTATTTTATATAGTATATTTATCTTCTATTTAATTACTAGATTATAGTAAAGTATTAAATATTCTTATAATCTATATATATCTTAACCTTATATATTATTCCTAAGTAGTAGTATTTAAACTCCTTAAATATATATATAATAGTTATAAATTCTTTATTATAAATAGAGTAATTAAGTTCTATACTATATAGTTTCTTTAAGAAGAATACTATAGGGTATAATACTCTATTATTATTCTTTTAACTAATTTATATACTAATTATAAAATTTAAAATAT